CCAAAAGAAAAAGAAAGAGTTTGAGAATCAAATAACCTGGGTGCTAGACAGTCATATATTTGCTAGGTAACCGTGGAAAAACCAATTAATCTCTGAGCATCAGTTTAACATCTGAAAAACAAATAATACTAGTTTTACCCTTATAGCTTTTCTGTAAAGATCAAGATATGTATTAATAGGCCCAGAATGGTGACTCATGCCTGTAATCCCAGCACTTTGGGAGACTGAGGCGGACAGATTACCTGAGGTCAGGAGTTCCAGACCCCATCTCTACTAAAAATACAAAAATTAGCTGGGCATGGTGGCGCGTGCCTGTAATCCCAGCTACTCAGGAGGCTGAGGCAGGAGAATTGCTTGAACCCAGGATGCGGAGGTGGCGGTGAGCCGAGATCACGCCATTGCACTCCAGTCTGGGTAACAACAGGGAAACTCCGTCTCAAAAAAAATGAAAGGGAAGAGTAAGAAAAGAAACATAAGAAATACCATAAGAACATTTTAAAATAGCTAAGGAACAAACGGAGGAACAGCATAGAGACTACAAAGGGGACTACTGGGAAGAAGTTATATCCAAAAATGGTTTGCATATCTCATGCACTGTAAGTTAAAATATCAACTGGTATAATCTCCATGGAGAGTAATTTGGCACTAACAAAATTAGAACTCCACTTCTAGAATTTATCCTACAATTTGTACTTGTGCAAAAGTTAAATAAACAAGATTATTCTTTCTTTCTTTTTTTTTTTTTTTTTTTTTTTTAAGATTTTTTCTCGCTTTGTCGCCCAGGCCGGAGTGCAGTGGTGCGATCTGCAACCTCCATCTCCCGGGTTCAAGCAATTCTCCCGCCTCAGCCTCCCGATTAGCTGGGACTACAGGCGCATGCCACCATGCCCGGCTAATTTTTGTATTTTTAGTAGAGACGGGGTTTCACCACGTTTGCCAGGCTGATGTGATCCACCGGCCTCAGCCTCCGAGCCAGGCCTATTCATTGTTTTATAACAGCAATAAAGTGGAAAAGTCTAGCTGTCCATCAATAATAATTAAGTACATTATCGAATATCCACAAAATGGGATACTATGCAGATGCAGAGAAAGTGACTACATAACAGGAAATTATCTCTAATATGTAATAAAAATTTTAAAAATCACTATGTTGAGTATGTACGGCATGCTACATTTATGTAAAAAAAAGAATATATGAGCAGACTTGCTTGTGTATGTATAGAATATGTCTAGAAAGATATGCAAAATAACAATATTAGTTGCCTCTGCGGAGAAGTTAGTGGCTGGGTCCAAGAATGCGAGACTTTACCCAATGTTATCTTTTCTGCCTCCTGAATTGTGAACCCTGTGAGTGTATTATCTGGTCAAATAAATGTTTTAAGAAAACCATCTCAGAATTGTAGCTACACAGTGATAGCTCCCAGCTGTCACAGCTGGGAGGAGGAGGAGGAGAGGAAAGAGGATCAGGTGACCGAGCACCGCCAGGCAGAACTTTTCAAGGCCTGTAAGGCCAAGCAGGGTGCGTGGCTTCTTCAAGATCTGAGAGCTCAGAATGAATAAAAGTTTCCATCAGCAGATGAATAAAGAACTTGTAGTGGATGAGGGAGACTGAGAAGGCAAGCAAGTTAATCCGGCCGGCGCCCATACTAAATGACTAGGGGCACAAAAGGGCTAGAGCAGAGCCAGGAGCGGGAATCCAGCTCCCCTCCGGTGTCAAGGCAGCTGCTCTCCAGTCCCGCCCCAGCTCTGATCTCCTGCCCATGCCACTGACCTCGGATGGGCTTGTCGTCCTTCTCATCCTCTTTGGTCTTCCGCTGATCGACACCGAGGTAATCTGGCATTTTAAGAGCTCCAACTGCCTCCACTCCTTAATGATTACACAGCACCTTCCTTGCTTCCGGTGGTGTTCTCCTTTTCCCTTCCCCACCGGAAGTAGATCGGACTCTGGCGAGCCTCCTTACGCAGTGCCTGAGAGTCTGGAGAGAGCCCTGGGGGAAACGCTTTGGCAAGCAGGTCGCTGGTTTTTGGAGTGATTACCTGTGAGAAGGGAAATTTACAGTGTTTGCAAAATGCGTGGCATATTAGAGACAATAAGTAGTGGCCACATCTACAAATACAGTAAAGGTAATCTATTTCTGTTAAGGAGTTAATATCCACAATACATAAAGAACTCCTACAACACAATAACAAGAAAACAACGTGATTTTTTAAATGAGCAAATAACCTGAAAGAACATTTCTCCAAAGAAGATATACAAATGGCCAACATCACTGTTCAGGAAAGGCAAATCAAAACCACAACTGGATGCCACCACATACCCACTAGGATAGCTATTAGTAAAAACAAGCAAAAACAGAACATAAAATAAGTATTGGATGACTCTGGGGTACAGCAGACCCTTGCGAGTGCTGCTGGAGAAAATGGAATCCTTGTGCATTGTTGATGTAAATGTAAAATGATAAAACGGTGCAACTGATGTGGGAAACAGTATGATGATTCCTCAGGAAATTAGAATTACCATGCCATTTAGCAATTCGATTTCTGGGTATGTATCTGAAATAACTGAAAAGAGGATCTCAAAGAGATATTTGTGCATCCATGTTCACAAGCAGCATTAGTCAATGATAACCAAAAGGTGGAAGCGACTCCCATCTACATATGAATGAATAAACAAAATTTGATATGCGCGTGCGTGTGCGCACACACACACACACAAATATTCAGCCTTAAAAAAATGAAATTTTAATATGAATTACAACACAGATAAACCTTGAGGACATTATGCTAAGGGAATAAGCCGTTCACAAAAAAGACAAATATGATATGATTCCACATAGATGAAGTGCCTGGAGTTGTCAGATTTCTAAAGACAAAGTACAAGGATGGTTTCCAATGCAGAGTTGTTCAATGGATATAGTTTCAGTTTTGTAATATAAAAATAGTTCTGTAGGGTGATTGCATAATCGTGAATGGACTTAACATTACTGTACACTTAAAAATGGTGAAGATGGTACATTTCATGTTATGTGTATTTTAGCAAAATTTTTTAAAAAGCAAAATGCCCTGGCAGGGCTCGGTGGCTCACACCTGTAATCACATAACTTTGTGCGGCTGAGGCGAGCGGATCTCAAGGTCAGGAGTTCGAGACAGGCTTTGCTAACAGGCTGAAACATCGTCTCTACTAAAAAGACAAAAATTACCTGGGCGTGGTGGCACGCGCCTATAGTCCCAGCTACTTGGTAGACTGAGGCAGGAGAATTGCTTGAATCTGGGAGGCGAAGGTTGCAGTGCACTTCACTGCCACTGCACCACTGCACTTCAGCGTGGGCAACAGAACGAGACTACATCTAAAAAAAAAAAGGAAAAAAGAAAAGAAAAAGAAACCTTATGACCTTAGAGATGATGATAAAATCGAATGGGAAGAGGTGTGAGAAAAAAAATATATTCATATGGAGAAAGTGGAGTCAGGTTACTTTGCACCTTGGAGTATGTTTTAACAGTGGTTGCATCAATAGAGATCAGGAAGAGGTTTTGGGGCAGATGATTAGTTTTTGGTTTTTTTTCCAAGACAGGGTCTCACTCTGTTACCTAGGCTGGAGTGCAGTGGTGCGATCTCAGCTCACTGCACCCTCCACTTCCCGGGCTCAGCAATCTTCCCACCTCTGCCTCCCTTAGTTCAGTTTTTGAAATGTCAATTTTGAAGTGACAGTGATGTCATGCAGCAGATATGCAGACCAATTAAATATAGTTAATTGGCCTGGCACAGTGACTCACACCTGTAATCCCAGAGCATTGGAAGACTGAGGCAGGAGCATTCCTTTAGGCCAGGAGTTCAAGACCACCTTGGGCAATATCGGGAGACCCTGTCTCTACAGAACATATATATACTACACTTGATCTTAGCCAAAAGGCCGAGAAGAGCGATAAAACGTGTGTGTGTGTGTGTGTGTGTGTGTGTGTATAAAACTTGTTTAATTGTGAAAATATAATGAAATTAGTAAATTAGAGGATAATTTACTAATTTCTGGTGGTCCTTGCTAAAGGGTGTCACATCAAGTTTATTTTTTTGAACATGTTTCAGATGCTCCTTTTGGGGGTGAGCCTTTTAACCCATTGGTTTTCCTTTGCTAGTTTTTGCTTTGAACAGCAGTTAGAGAAGGGAACATATAGTAAGAATACAGTTGATTTTATTATGCAATAAACAATTATGTCCCAGAGTCCTGTAATTGGGAATATCCTGAAAGAAAACTTCATTCCACTAAAACAGGGTAAAAATATTGCTGGCCTTAGAATAGAATATAACACTAGAGAGAGGTTTTGAGTAATGAAAGATACAGTACAGGCAAATAGTAATGGCATGACAAATATTCGCTGCTATTATCAAGTTAAGCGCAAATGTATCACAAATACACGTACATAATTCTCCACAGATGTATATACTAGTCGATACTGGTTCACACCAGTATTTTCAGTTTTTACTTAAAGGTGTAGAGCTCCTGGGAAAATCACTGATTAGTTTCAGATTAATATGTAAAGCAGTTAGAACTTAAAGATAATATAAAAAGAGCTGCTTTTAAAGGTTATGTTCTACGTATTGCACCAGGACGTGGAAAATAACCTTTTTTTTTTTTTTTTTTTTTTTTTTTTGAGACGGAGTTTCGCTCTTGCTACCCAGGCTGGAGTGCAATGGCGCGATCTCGGCTCACCGCAACCTCCACCTCCTGGGTTCAGGCAATTCTCTTGCCTCAGTTTCCTGAGTAGCTGGGATTACAGGCACGCGCCACCATGCCCAGCTAATTTTTTGTATCTTTAGTAGAGACTGGGTTTCACCATGTTGACCAGGATGGTCTCGATTTCTTGACCTCGTGACTCACCCGCCTCGGCCTCCCAAAGTGCTGGGATTACAGGCTTGAGCCACCTCGCCCGGCCGAAAATAACCTTTTTTCAGGAAAACTGATGAGCCTAGGAACCATTGTCTCGTGCGACTTGGTTTCCAGTCGGATCTGAGTCAGTATGAAACCAAGTTGCCGCACACGTTAGCGGGGGTGGGAAGGTGTGAGATTGGCGGCCGCATCACGAAAGCTCCATCCCGGAAGTGCTTGTTGGTCGTCTCCATGCGCCGGTTCCTAGGCGTCGTGGAGCCAAGACGCGAGGCTGGGACTGAGAGGTAGAGCTGGAGGGGACCCTAAGCGCCCTCCGCCCGGGACGTGACCCGCTGCGCCCACCGGGCTAGGCCCGGCGCCATCATGCTGCTCCTGCCAAGCGCCGCGGACGGCCAGGGCACCGCCATCACCCACGCTCTGACCTCTGGTAAGTGCCCACCCAACCCCAGTTCCTTCCCACCTTAGCCGCCCCTTCCTCGGTCCTCCGCCTCTGCAACCCTGGGCTCTCTCACCCGGGCAACTAGCTCCAGGGCCGTGTGGGGCCGTGACGAGTGCCTTTTTGCTCAGTGTTTCAAAGTAATCCTATCCCAGATTGGAAGGAAGGAGGGTGAGGGTGCCTTCCTTTTGCTCCTATCATTGCTTCCTCCTCTCGCCGCTGCTGACTCATGGATTGGACTGAGCAGTTCGGGACCGAACCCCCCAGTATCCTAGAAAGATTCTTGTAAGCATCTTCTTGCCTACGGCGGAAAGAGAAGAGTAGGCGCAGCGAGCATCCCGCATGCCTGGGGTCGTACAAAGCTTTGCTGCTGGCGGTCTCTTTAAACACCTTTCTCCCTCTCTACGTTTGCTCCGGCTTTATTTTTTAAATGTCACACTCGCTCCTCATACTCAGCGTTAAAAGATCCTCGCCTTTGTTGCTGAAAAGATCCGCGTAGACTTTGAAAGGCAGTTATTACAAGTGAAACTTGTCCTGCTACTGTAGGTTTTAGATTTATGGCCCAGGAGAGTCATGAGTATTGTAAACTTAAGAGTTTTCAGTTCCAGTAATCTACAGTAATTCTCATAGCCAGTCACATAGGCGTCTGTTAAATGTGATTTTAACGCATGGCACGTGTTGCATTTGTGTCTCCGTGCCGCTTACAACTAGAGGAAAAGGCCTAAAAGGCAATGTTCTAAAAGCCACACACCCATACTACATAGGTGGTACCTTTTTTTACAGAGTGTTTTAATTCTCTCCTGTGTAAGGTGGAGGAAATCTTAATTACGCAAACCAACTAAAACATGAAAAGTCAGTTGTCTTCTTAAACTGTGACTATTAAGTCCTAGGGAAAACTTCCATCTGAGTTGAGTTATTCATTACTAGATAGATTAAAACTTTTTGCTTTCTTATGGAATATGAAATTAAAATTAAGTTGTTCAGGGATTTTCGTTTTTTGAATTGCTGATATACACATGTACAGTGATTTAGCCCCCACTTCCCAGGAATAGATGATACCTTTACTGTGAGTTTGTGATTTCAGAGAGTTTTATCATCTCATTCAGTCTTCCTAGGAACTGAATGAGATAGCTATCGTTCCCATTTTACAGGTCACAGCTGCTGTCCAGAATATCTGGTTTCAGACTGAGAGCTTGTTCTACTGCATTAGTAAATCCCCATTTGCTGCTTGGAAAATTGCTTTCAGAACAAATTAGTGAATCCTTAAAATTTTTTTTTTTTGAGACGGAGTTTCGCTCTTGTTACCCAGGCTGGAGTGCAATGGCGCGATCTCGGCTCACCGCAACCTCCACCCCCTGGGTTCAGGCAATTCTCCTGCCTCAGCCTCCTGAGTAGCTGGGATTACAGGCACGTGCCACCGTGCCCAGCTAATTTTTTGTAATTTTTAGTAGAGACGGGGTTTCACCATGTTGACCAGGATGGTCTGGATCTGTTGACCTCGTGATCCACCCGCCTCGGCCTCCCAAAGTGCTGGGATTACAGGCTTGAGCCACCGCGCCCGGCCTGAATCCTTAAAATTTTTGAGATCTATATCAAGATTTTAATAATTAGGATAGTTTGAGTTGGCTGGGTGTCATGGCTCACACCTGTAATCCCAGCACTTTGGGAGGCCGATGTGGGTGGATCACCTGAGGTCAGGAGTTCAAGACCAGCCTAGCCAACATGGCAAAACCCCATCTCTACTAGAAATGTAAAAAATTAGATGGACATAGTGGTGGGGGCCTGTAATCCCAGTAATTTAGGAGGCTGAGGCAAAGGAATTGCTGGAACCCAGGAGGTGGAGGTTGCAGTGAGCCAAGATCATACCATTGGACTCCAGCCTTGGCAACAAGAGCAAAACTCCATCTCAAAAAAAGAAAAGAAAAAAGATAGTTTGAGTTGTTTTTAGATTTCTTATTTTTGGTGAGGCTAGCTCTTGGTGACAATTTATCACTATTGATTGTTTTATTAAAATTATTCATCTAAAAGTCAAGCAGTTTGCAACCCTTCTTCCTGTTTGTCACCTTTCCAACATATCCCCAGAAAAGTACTGATTTATTGTTGACATTGCTAAGTTTTATTTTGTCAGGTAACTGGGAGAGTTTGATTAAATACTCTGTAAATACTAGGAAAGATAATTTCTTGCTAACCCACATGTAAACTGGATACTGCAATTATTTTCTTAGTTGGTGGTTTTGAAAGAATATTCTGGTGGGGTCACTGTTTTGACCTTATTTCCTGAAAAAATTTATTGCTTTGAAACAGATTTATTTCATGCAATACATTAAAGCCTCTCTTAACAACTTTTAATCACAGCCTCTACACTCTGTCGAGTTGAACCTGTGGGAAGATGGTTTGAAGCTTTTGTTAAGAGGAGAAACAGAAATGCTTCTGCCTCTTTTCAGGAACTGGAGGATAAGAAAGAGTTATCCGAGGAATCAGAAGATGAAGAATTGCAGTTGGAAGAGTTTCCCATGCTGAAAACCCTTGATCCCAAAGACTGGAAGGTATTTAATATCTGAGTATTTTGTTCAATCAGATGCTTTGTTAGACCTAGGCAATTTTCTTACGAGTTTTCCATTAAAAAAAAACAAAAAAAAAAAACATGTTTTAAGATGATTCAGTAAGATAACTATAATTTAGCATCTGTTCATTACTAAGCCTTGAGTGAGTTAGCACTGGCCATGAGATACTATCTCTGCTGGAGAAATCCAGGAAGAATTCACAGAAAAGATAATGTTTACACTGGTCTTAAAAGGATGAGTGGTAACTGGTGAAGCAGAGAAGTGAGAAAGGTGTTCTGGGCAGAAGGAATAGATACACAAAGGAGTAAAAGAATATGTAGTGCCTCTTTAGGGATTGAGGAGTAGGATGGGGACATGCAGTATGATGGTGAGAAATGAGGCCTTAAAAGGGGCTCTAGACCAAACTCTGCTGTGTCCTTTTTATACTATGCTAAGGAAGGCATTAAAATTTATTTTTGGGACAGCAAAAAGCCATCAAAAGTTTCTTAGCTAATTTTAGAAAAGTAATTCCCTTGGCAGTACAGAAAATTGCTTGAAAGCAGGGAAGAAAGTGGAGGGGAAGTGAATAATTTATTATTACAGGGCTAGTGCACTAAGGCAGGCCTGTGACTGAATCCTTGAACTTACTACGTGGCTAGGTTTTGAGGAAGAGGGTCAGATTTGCCTTTTTTGGAGGTAGAGTTGACAGGCTTTGGTGTTGGCTGTGTGGCACAAGAGAACAGGAAGTATTCAGAAATCCTCCCCAGCACTATGGCTTGAGTGACCTGCTAGAGTGTGAAGTCAGTAACCAATGCTGGGATGCAGGATAAGAATGTTTGCAGGAAGTGCTGTTTGTGTCCAGGTTTGGCTATGTGAAGACTGAGGTTTTGGTACCGTAGTGATGAAGCTGTGTAGTAGATGGTTAGAAATTGGTCTGTGACTCTTTTAAGAGTTAGAGCTAAAGACTTTTTGAAGTCATTGGTACATAGTGGTGGTTGCTGTGAGGAATTGAATGACATCACCAAGGGACAAAAGTATAGACAAATAGATAATGCTTTAATAGGTACTTGTATAATAGTTAAATGTCTATGCTGTGGAATTGGAGTACCTGAATTCAAATCTGGTTCTGCCATTTGGTGCACTGGGACCTTGGAAAGGTTCCCAGATACCTGTGTACCTCATTTCCCATGTTGCTACAGTGACATTGTTAACAGCTCAAAGGATTATCTTGAGGATTAATAAAATGATGCATATAAAGCACGTAACTTAGTACTTGCCGCATGATAAATGCCAAACAAATAATGGATAATAAGAGTTCTTATGTCATTGGTTGTTTAGAGGACTGAATGAGCTAAGGCATGTATATAAAGCACAGAGAAAAGTAAATAAGTGCTCAGAAAGTGTTAGCTGATTCGCTCACCACCTGATCCATTTTAAAAGAAAAACACTGACCATTGAGGAGCATGGATATTATGGGATAGGAAGAGGAGGAAAAACAGCAAAAGATACTGAGAAGGGTGACAGAAATAGAAAGAAAACAAAGAAAAAGACACTTTGTTATTTGAAAAAAGACTTCCTAAACATCAGGCACCATACTTTTCCAGAAACTAAGGGAGGAACAAGACTCATGAGGGGAAAAGAGGTCGGGCATGGTGGCTCACACCCATAATCCCAGCACTTAGGGAGGCCAAGGCGGGCGGATCAGCCTGACCAACATGGTGAAACCCCCTCTCTACTAAAAATACAAAATTAGCCAGGCTCAGAGACACATGCCTGTAATCCCAGCTACTCTGGAGGCTGAGGCAGGAGAATGGCTTGAACACAGGAAGTAGAGGTTGCAGTGAGCCAAGATGGCACCATTGCACTCCAGCCTAGGCAACAAGAGCGAAACTCTGTCTCAAAGAAAAAACAAAAGAGGGAAAAAGACTCACCTGTGTTACTGCTTCAGAACAGGGTCAATCACATAACATGAAAAATTATTTTAAAAACTACTGGATTTGGCAAACTAAAAGTTTCGGTGTCCTCACTGAAAGCAGTTTGAGTAAAATGATTGGGAAGGCAGGAGATCGCAGTGGATGAGAAGGGATTAGGAAGAGATCAAGTAGAACCGAAGTGTAAAATACTCTTTCAAAGCTGGGTAGTAAAGAAAACGAGAGGAGATAGTAACTTGAGGAGAAGGCAGAGTCGGGAGAAGACAGAAGTGGGGAATGTTGAGATCTACAAGAGGGAAAAGGTCTTTGGTCTACAAAGAAGTAGATTGTATCACAGCAAGGTAGCAGGGTTCATTCACTTGTTCAATTTATTTTCATTCATCAAATATGGATCAAACACCATGTCAGACACTGTTCTAGGTGCCAAGGATACTGTACTGAAGAAGACAGTACCACTGCTTCTACATAACCTATATTCCAGTGACATAATAAGTGAATAATCAAGAACATTGAGCCATAAGTACCATAGGATGGCACTAGGTGTCAGTAGGTGCTAAGACAAAGCGGTCTTTGGTCATGCAAATTTGGAAAAATCTGGGTTTTACAGGTTTCTATTTATTTTTTAAATCTAATTATAGGACTTCTCAGAGCCTTTCCTACGCTTCATCAAGGAGGCTATATAAATAGTCCACGTTTATCTTTTTTTTTTTTTTTTAAAGACAGGGTCTTGCTTTGTTGCCTATCCTGGAGTGCAGTGGCATGATCACAGCTCACTGCAGCCTCTACTTACTGGACTCAAGCAGTCCTCCTCTTTAGCCTCCTGAGTAGCTGGAACTACCACATCCAGCTAATTTTTTAAAAATTTTTCTGTGGAGACAGAGGTCTTGCTTTGTTGCCCAGGCTGGTATCAAACTCTTGGGCTAAGCAGTTCTCCACCTGGGCCTCCCAAAGTGCTGGTGTTGGGGTTCAGTGGAGCCCTCAGCTTCCCTGAGAGGACGTTTCTCCAAGGTTCTTGGTCCCTCGCTCTCTCAAGAATGAGAGAGGAAGCCACGGCACAGTGCACCCGTAAAGTAAATACCGGACCCCAAAGTGTTTGCAGAAAGTGATTTATTTAGGTAGAGAAAGAGAAAAAGGAGAGAAAGCTTCCACAAGAGAGAGTGTGTGTGGAAGGGGATCCAAACATGGAGGCCAAAGGGATGTGGAGGAGGACTTTTAACCTGGGAGGAACCCCCACCTTCTCCAAGACCCCTGGCCAATGAAAGGAGTTCCTTAGAACTTCTGCTGGAGTGATTGACTTTTGATTCTTCCTGCTCCCAGAAAAATTAAAACAGAGACCGTTAAATCTCCCAGATGAAGAGGCATGGGAGGGGGACATGGCACTGGGAAGGTTCTTGCCCTTAAAACTATGCCTCCTTGTGGGCCTGGAAAGAGAACACCTTCCCTCACTGGATTACTGCCATGAACCATGGCACCTGACCTAATGAACATTTCTCAACTTTACGTAACCATAGAACCTGTTTTATGCGGAACCTCTTACTGGACTCCTGATGCAATGTCACTTTGGGAAATGCTGTATTAAAGTACCAGAACACAGGGGTGGAATATATTGGCTCCATCTCAAACTTGACTCCCTTTTGTGTCTTTATCAGAACCAAGATCATTATGCAGTTCTTGGACTTGGCCATGTGAGATACAAGGCTACACAGAGACAGATCAAAGCAGCTCGTAAGTACTTAGTCACTTGGAAATAATCAAATATCTGGTATAGGAACATGCTATGCTTTGTAAAAGAAAACACAGTATCATAGTCTGTGCCATAACTACATTTAACACCATGTATTATATCGTCATAACAAACAAACAAACAAAAAAAATCATGGTCTCCTCTGCCTTCAGAATCAGAAGAAAGCAATCCATTTTACATATGGGCTTTCCCATTAGGGATTGGAAATTAGGATGGGGGTGTGTGTGTGTGGATATAGAATATTCTCCCAATGGCAAGCTTTTAAAAAATAATACTTCGCCTCTCTTTAGAAGTATAGGCAGTTGTACTTAGTGGAAACTGCCTTTTTACTTGGGTTTTTTGATGTTATTTTGTAATCTTAAGTCACACCTTGTAGATGTCATCCTCTCTTCTGTCTAAGAGAAGTTATCTGATGTTTTGTTGTTGTTTTTATTGAGGTTAAAATTTACATGGGACGGGGAATGTTGGACCCCAGTCTTCACATGCCTTATAAAACAGCATCCCTCAGTACTTCTAAACATCCTCTCCTTTACAATCCTGTGGACATAATTTCTTATACACATGATTAGTTAAACTGATTAAAGTTTAGTGAAAGAGGTAAGAGGTGAAGGTGATCAGTTTTCTATCTTATCTTACGAGAATGTTCTGCCCTCCACTCTAGAGAATGGATATTGACGTCAGAGGAGGTAAGATTGTGGCCACAGGGAACCGGAGTAGGGAGTCAGGGCCTGTCCAGAAGAGGAAGTATTATACTTGGAAGAAGATGACTGAACAAGAATGCCTATGCTAAAAAATTAGCCAATACTTAGTATAACAGATGAGCTCAAAATCATCCCCATTAGTGTTTACATTTAGGAAAATCACAGGAAATATTTTGAACAAAGTGAAGGAATTTATCAGATTATTTTAAACCTATTATTGGATTTCTTTAAAGGCTGGCATGATTTTAGACAAAGCATATGTTAATGCATGTGAATGGTTATTCCAGTATACATAAATGCCAGAAAAATCCATCTGCCATGTACAGATGTTTGCAGTTTTACTATTTGAATAGCGTTGGCTGGGCTCAGTGCCTCTCGCCTGTAATCCCAGCGCTTTGGGAAGCTGAGGTGGGTGGATCACATGAGATCAGGAGTTCGAGACCAGTCTGGCCAACATGGCAAAAGCCCATCTCTACTGGAAATACAAAAATTAGGCAGGCATGGAGGCGCATGTCTATAGTCCCAGCTACATAGGAGGCTGAAGCACGAGAATCACTTGAACCCAGAGGTGGAGGCTGCAGTGAGCTGAGATCACACCGTTGCACTCCATTCAGCCTGGGCGACAAAGGGAAACTCCGTCTCAGAACCCAAAAGTATTTGTCAGAGTTTCTGAACCCTTGCAGTATATGTTGAAATAACTAATTTTAACATGCCCATGAAAAGATTTCTGTTGGCCAAGCATGGTGATTCATGCCTATAATCCTATCATTGTGGGAGACTCAGGCCGGAGGATCACTTGAGCTCAGGAGTTCCAGGCCAACCTGGATAACATAGACCTTGTCACTCTCTTTTTTTAAGATATCTTTTTTTTTTAAAGAGGGGATCTGTCGTTCAGGGTGGAGTGTAGTGGCGAGATCTTGGCTCACTGCGACATCCATCTCCAGGGTTCAAGCAATTCTCTTGCCTCAGCCTCCCAAGTAGCTGGGATTACAGGCACCTGCCACCATACCTGGCTAATTTTTGTATTTTTTGTAGAGACTGGGTTTCCCCTTGTTGGCCAGGTTGGTCTGGAACTCCTGAGCTCAAGTGATCCACCTAACTCCTTGGCCTCCCAAAGTGCTGGGATTACAGGCATGAGCCACCGCACCCAGCTGAAAGATTTCTGCAGAAATGTTGATAACAGCCTACTCACAATGTCCAGAAACTGGAAACAACCCAAATGTTTAATAACAGGGAAATAGATAAGCAAACTGCTATATAGTTCGGTACAGTGAAATACTAATCAGCAATTTTTAAAAGAAGAAATTGCCAATACAGAGAAAAACATGGATGAATCTCAGACCAGGAGTGAAAGAAGCCAGACACACACAATTCTGTAAGTTACATCTACTTGAAGCTCAAGGACATACAAAAGTAATCCGTGGTGACAGGCATCAGAAAGTGGTTGCTTCAGTTGGTAGAAGAAGGGAGCCCAGTGGAAAGGGGTATAAGGGAGCTTTTTGGGTGATGGAAATGACCTATATTTTCTTTTGGGTAGTAGTTACATGAGTGTATACAGTTGTCAAAACTCATTGAACTTAATGAATGCTTAAAATCTGAGCATTTATTTTATGTAAATTTTACCTCAGTTGAATCAGATAGATTAAACCAAAAAACCCCAATCACTTGGGAAATTAAATATATTCTTTTGAGCCTACACAGAAATATAAATTATGCTAGTAGACTTCTTTTTTTCCACAGAAGTAAGATTACTGGTTTATCAAAACTTACAGACTGGCAACTAGAGTTGTACCTTAAATAAATTCATTGCCTTAATCTATTATGTTAGTTTTTTAGAAAGAGGGAAAAAATAAGGTGGAAATCCAATTCAGAAGAATAGCACAAAGGAAGATGTAGGAAGAAAATAAATAAGACAATATCCCAAAATGGATTTTATAAGAAGAATAAACAAATACAAGTTGAGCATCACTAAGTCAAAAATCCAAAATGCTCTAAACTTTGAGTGTTGTCATTATGACACTTCAAAGGAAATGAAATGCTCACTGGAGAATTTAGGATTTTCATATTTGGAATGGATGCTCACCTATTAAGTATAATGCAGATATTACAAAATGCAAAAAAATTTGAAATCGCAAACCCTTCTGGTCCCAAGCATTTTAGATATGGGTTACTCAAAATATAGTGAAATACGCAACGAGCTAGTCATGGTGGCTTATGTCTGTGATCCCAGCACTTTGGGAGGCTGAGGTGGCTGGATTGCTTGAGCTCTGTCGTTCAAGACCAGCTTGAGCAATGTGGTAAAACCCCGTCTCTACAAACAATACAAAAATTAGCTGGGCATAGTGGTGCATGCCTGTGGTCTCAGCTGCTCAGGAGGCTGAGATAGCAGGATCACTTGAACCCAGGAGGTCAGGACTGCAGTGAGTCGTGATTACACTGCTGCACTTGGGCAATAGTTAGACCGTGTCCCGCCCCCCCAAAAAGAAGCAAAGGATGAAAAACATTAAAGTTACCAAAGAATTGCCTCCTAAAAATTTTTAGGCCCAGATAATTTTTCAGGTGAATTGTTTTAAGTGTTAAAGAATTCAAACTTCTAATGAATATAAAGTTGATTTATTTTCTTTAATTGGAGAATCAGTTAATCTTAAACTTTTGGAATAATTCATTTTGTTAAGTTGTAAAGTTTAATGATTGTATAAAACCTAGCAAAGAGAGCTCAGAAAAAACCTAGAGAGCCGGGCTCAGTGGCTGGTGCCTGTAATGTAATCCCAGCACTGATTGCCTGAGGTCAGGAATTCAAGCCAGCCTGGCCAACATAGTGAAACCCTGTCTCTACTAAAATTACAAAAAATTAGCTGGGCGTGAAAAAATGAAAGAAAAAAGCAGTTAAAATGTTAATAGCAAATTCAAGAAAAGGGAATTTTTATACACTGTTGGTAGGCATGTGAATTAGTATGGAAACTATGGAAAACAGTATGGGGATATCACCAAAAATTAAAAATAGAATTACTGTATAGCACAGCAGTCCCACTACTGGATATTTATCCAAAGGAAAAGAAAACTGTATGCCAAAGAGATACCTGCACTCCCATGTTTTTATTGCAGCAGTATTTGTAATTACAAAGATAAGGAGTCAACCTAAGTGTCCATCAGCAGACTAATGGATAATGTATTTGTACACAATGGGATACCACTCAGCCATAAAAAAGAATGAAATTATGTATGTAGTAACATAGATAGAACTGGAGGTCATTATGTTGAGTGAAATAAGCACAGAGAGGCAAATATTGCGTGTTCTCACTCATGAGAACAATGGGAGTTTAAAAGTAGATCTCATGGAGATAGTAGATAGGATGATAGATACCAGAGGCTGGGAAGGGTGTTGGGGAGGGAGGGATGAAGAGAGGTTGGTCAATGAATACAAACATACAATTAGAAGGAATAAGCCCCAGTGTTCTGTAGCAGAGTAGTGTGACTATAGTTAACAACAATGTATTGTATATTCCAAAATAGCTAGAAGAGATAACTTGAAATGTTCCCAACACATAGAAATAATAAATACTCAGGTTGATGGATGCCCAAATACCCTGATTTGATCATTACATGGTTTATGCATGTACCATGAATTATGTACAAAATGAGGCCTGGTACGGTGGCTCATGCCTGTAATCCCAGCACTTTGGGATGCCAAGGCAGACGGATCACTTGAGATCAGGAATTCGAGACCAACCCTAGCCAACCTGGCGAAACCCTGTCTCTACTAAAAATACGAAAATTAGCTGGGCATGGTAGCTAGTGCCTATAATCCCAGCTACTCTGGAGGCTGAGTCAGGAGAATTGCTTGAACCCAGGAAGCTGAGGTTGTTGTGAGCCGAGATTGCGCCACTGCACTCCAGCCTGGACGACAGAGTGAGAATCTGTCTCAAAAAATATATATGAATTTTGTTTGTGTATTATGAAAAAATTATCACATGTACCCCATAAGTGTGTACAAATACTTTTATCATGAGAAAATAGTGGCTAGGTGTGGTGGCCACCTGTAACTCTCGCATTTTGGGAGGCCAAGGTGGGAGGATCACTTGATCCAGGGAGTTCGAGACTAGCCTGGCCAACATGACAAAACCCTGTCTCTACAAAAAATACAAAAAATTAGCAAGGCATGGTAGAGCATACCTGTAATCCCAGCCACTTGGGAGGCTGAGGTCAACGATCACCTGGGCCTGGGAGATTGAGGCTGCAGTGAGCCGAGATCATGCCACTGTGCTCCAGCTTGGGTGACAGAGTGAAACCTTGTCTCAAAAAAAAAACAAAAAACAAAAATGACAAATACAATTTAACAGTACACTAAAATAATAATAGTGTTCATGAACACAAGAGTTTCTCTCAGGAATCCAACTTAGGAAGTATTTTAGTATCGCAAAACTATTTATGATTTAGATAATATTCAATCTATGTGATTTTCTAAGTAGATAGTGAAAGCACATAGAATACAATTTAACACCCATTCCTTTTTCATAAGAATTTTGAAAAGAAATGTAGTTAATTTCCTACTTTGATAACTATTTCAGGCCTACAGCTAGCATACTTTTAGTTATGTGGCATTAATGCTATTACCTAAAATCCAGGGTTGAAGCAACCTGCTTTTTACTTTTTATGCTATTTTGGGAGTTTAGGTCAGTGAGTTAAGTTATTAAATAAGAGACAACTATTGGAAAGAAGGAAACATACATTATTTGTAGATGATATAGAATTTGCCTGGAAAAGTAGAAGAGATTTAAGTGACTGGATGCAAGAAAAATAAGCAAAAATTGTACAGTTTTTGGAGGTTAACCATCAAATATATTAGAAAGCTGTGGTCATTTTAAAGATAACCCCGGGGCAAGAATTAGTAACCCAAAAAAGCCCTTGTAAAATTTACTATTATAAAGGTGGTATCACAGATCAGTGGAAAAAGGAAGGATTATTAAATGACAGTAAGATTTTGAAAAATGACAAGTTTAGATACTTTTTTGACTATATTAAAATTGCAAGAAAACCTAAAAATTTTTTCAATGTAACCATAGGAAATGTTAATGAAACTAGAAGTATCGTAAATACTAGAAGAAATTACAAAAGAAATGATAAGTAAATCTAAATAAAAATGACTAAATGGTTTTTTTTTAAAAAATAAGTGTAAACACAACAGTTGGGAAAAAATTAGCAGTAAACATAATGAAATTAGGAGAGGCAACATACAAACACAGGCTGAGAAGTCAGGCTGTCTGGATTAGAGCCCGACTTGGCTGGAAATTTGAGCAAGTTGCAGTGGTAATGGCTATGTAACGTCTTTGTTCCTCATTTTCCTTCCTCATCTATAAAATGGAGACAATAATAATACTTTCCTCATGGGGTCATGGAGAAGATTAAGTGGTAAACAGGCCTGGCACATGTCAACTGCTCCGTAGATGTTAATAGCTAGCCATTATTTATGTAGAGTGACACAGAGTCATAAGAAAAACTGAGACAGCCCCTCCTCTTTCCAGTTAAAGGATGTAAGAAACAAAAAAATGTTGAGCATCAGTGATAATCACAAATTTTAAATAATGAGACCTAACTGTGGCTGAGGCTGTGGTGAAAGATGTTCACATAGGAGTGTGAAATAGACTTTTGGAAAAGAATTTGTTCCGTTTCTATTTACAAAGTTCCCTTCTGTAACTATACCCTAAGACAAAAGAATCCTAAATAAGGGAAAATACATATATTTAAAATGATTCAAATTGGCATTATTTATAATAATGCAGTATTGGAAATTGGTAAATGCAAATGTTATAATGTGAAGCAGAAAAAAGCAGAATATAAATTAGTACATACAATTACACCTGAAGAGTTTTTCTTCTTTTTTTTTTTTTTTCTTCTTTTTGAGACAGATTCTCAGTCTGTCACCCAGGTGGGAGTTGAGTGCCGCCATCTTGTCTCACTGTGACCTCTTCCTCCTAGGTTCAAGCAATTCTTGTGTCTGAGCCACCCAAGTAGCTGGGACCATAGGCATGCAGTACCATGCCCAGCTAGTTTTTGTATTTTAAGTAGAAACCTGGTTTCTCTATATTGGCCAGGCTAGTCTTGAACTCCTGGCCTCAAGTGATCCTCCCAGCTCGGACTTCCAAAATGCTGGGATTGCAAGCTTGAGCCACCATGCCCAGCCTATACCGGAATTTTTTTAAAGCATATGCTTAAGAAAACAAAAGTATCTATGCAGAAATACACCAAAATGTTAACAGCCATTGTCGTTGGGTAGGGACACTTTGGCTAATTCTTAAAATAATTATTTAAAGCTGGGCGTTGTGGCTCATACCTGTAATCCCGGCACTTTGGGAGGTCGAGATGGGTGAATCGCCTGAGGTCAGGAGTTCTAGACTAGCCTGGCCAACATAGTGAAACCCCATCTCTACTAAAAATACAAAAAATTAGCTGGGTATGGTGGCGGGCAGCTGTAATCCCCGCTACTGGGGAGGCTAAGGCAGGAGAGTCACTTGAACCCGGGAGGTGGAGTTTGCAGTGAGCGGAGACTGCACCATTGCACTCCAGCCTGGGCAATAAAAACAAAACTGTCTCAAAAAATAATTATTTCAGTTTCTCTATAATTTTCACATTTAATAAGCATATATTTCACTGTGAGGAAAAAAGATTCTAAAATTAGCCTTATGATTTTAGAAATGGTCTATATGCAGCTCATCTTTATTTTTAGTTTTGGTGCTTAAAGTGACAAATTATCTAAATCTGACTGGTTTTTGTAGATAAAGCAATGGTTTTAAAACATCACCCAGACAAACGGAAAGCAGCTGGTGAACCAATAAAAGAAGGAGATAATGACTACTTCACTTGTATAACTAAAGGTAAGAAAATGTTTTAGAGTCAGGAATTTCTAATAATAATGGTTATTTATTAATTGCTGGGATTGGGTTTCTTACCTGTACTGTAGTTCATTCAACTGTCCTTTAACATTTTAAAACATTTCAGTTATATCAAGTTATTTGTAATCATCAAATAACCCGGAGCCTCACTACACACAGTGAGGTTTCCCCAGCCAGCAGCATTAGCAACACCTGGCAGCTTATTAGAAATGCAGTCTCAGGCCCTGCCCCAAACGTACTGATTAAAATCTGCATTTTAACAGGATTCCCAGGTGATTCTTATCAGAAGCTCATCCTACAGTTAATTCATGTAAGTGTTCTTTTTAATGATGAGAATACTAAGATTTTTTTTTTCATTTCAGATGCTTTATGGGACTAAACTGTTCCTCAGATGTTTTGCTAGCCTAGTTTAAGTCAAGAAGTTGATTATATCCTAGTACAGACCCTACAGTTACTTATTGCTATTTACGTAGACAAGACTAAGCAAATTAATGTAGGTTACCGCCATTTCTAAATGTTTCCTTAAATGTGATTTTTACATTTTGATGCTAATTTTTAAAGTTCTATGCACACCTTTCAAATTTACTCTTTGCCAGTTCTCTTACACAGTGCTCCAGAAGCCTAAGATCCTTGGATCTTTTACAACCTTGGGATCTAACAATTAACTTTCTAGCTATTTCTTTTTCCCCAGAGTCATCTGTTCTGTTGAGGGGTGGGTGATTTGTTGTGTCACTTGTCTACCAGAAAAAGAGAGAGTTAAGTCCAGTTATATCCAGTAGTGCTAAAGCTGTTATTACCTAAATTAATCCTTACCACCCTCCAAACAAAACTTTCAAATATAAAAATTAATGACTTTTACTTTTTAAGGAGGGAGATATTTGTTTTCTTGCAGGAAAAAAATAGGTAAAGTTATGGTGATGTGATCTTAACAATTTTTTTCTCAGCTTATGAAATGTTATCTGATCCAGTGAAAAGACGAGCATTTAACAGTGTAGATCCTACTTTTGATAACTCAGTTCCTTCTAAAAGTGAAGCAAAGGATAATTTCTTCGAAGTGTTTTCCCCAGTGTTTGAAAGGAATTCCAGGTGAGTTCAGGCATCCCTTTTGATCATAGTGCCCTGTTGGCTTGTTTCTTGTAGTCTTCCAGGTTTCTGTTTTTTCCCTCTGGTAATAGTTTCATTTGCAGACTATTTCCACTGTCTCTTCTTCCTCCTCCTCCTCCTCCTCCTTCTCTGCAATATTGAGCCCATCTGGTGAACTTATTGTTCTCATTTATATTGCTTTCTAAACAGAAGTTCTATATTTTCATAGTGAAATTTCTGTGCAACTTATTGGAGGTTTCTCTTTTAAATTTACTTGAACTGTGTGTGATGGCTCACACCTGTAATCAGGACACTTTGGAGGCTGAGGCAGGCGGATCACCTGAAGTCAGGAGTTTGAGCTCAGCCTGGCCAACATGATGAAACCCCATCTCTACTAAAAATATAAAAATCAGGCTGGGCACGGTGGCTCACGCCTGTAATCCCAGCACTTTGGGAGGCCGAGGCAGGTAGAACATGAAGTCAAGAGTTCAAGACCAGCCTGGCCAAGATAATGAAAGTCCATCTCTACTAAAAATACAAAAATTAGCTGGGCAGGCTGTCTGGCGCCTGTAATCCCAGCTACTCAGGAGGCTGAGGCAGGAGAATTGCTTGAACCTGGGCGGAAGAGGTTGCAGTGAGCCCAGATCGTGGCACTGCACTCCAGCCTGAGTGATAGAGTGAGACTCTGTCTCGAAAGCAAAAGAAAAAGAAAATTAGCTGGGCATAGTGGCGCATGCCTGTAATCCCAGCTACTTGGGAGGCTGAGACAGGAAAATCACTTGAACCCACAGGGTGGAGGTTTTAGTGAGCCGAGATCACACTGTTGCTCCAGCCTGGGCAATAGAGCCAGACTCCATCTCAAAGAAAAACATTTTTTTTAGTGTGAGAGAAATAACAGTATCTGACTTTATGTAGTGTGTTTCTTATACTTAGGTGACAATAATTTTCCATTCTTTGGTTTCCTCTTTATATGTGGGTATACTACTAAGTTGAGAAAGGACTTTGTTCTTTATTTGATCATCTGATTATCATAATGCTTCTTTGACAAAACATCATTTATATTTACAATGAAAGCATACATAATTTTATTTCATTAGTTTGTATTAAAATAGCATGTACCAATATTATTTTACATCTTTTTTTCTATCTGCATTGGCAGGTTCCCTTAAAGCGTATCCTTTTTTTTGTTTTTTGAGACAGAGTTTCGCTCTTGTTACCCAGGCTGGAGTGCAATGGCACAATCTCGGCTCACTGCAACCTCCGCCTCCTGGGTTCAGGCAATTCTCCTGTCATAGGCTCCTGAGTAGCTGGGATTACAGGCACGTTGCCACCACGTCCAGCTAATTTTTTGTATTTTTAGTAGAGACCGGGTTTCACCATGTTGACCAGGATGGTCTCGATCTCTTGACCTCATGATCCACCCGCCTCGGCCTCCCAAAGTGCTGGGATTACAGGCTTGAGCCACCGCGCCCAGCGTTTTTTTTATTGTTTGTTTGTTTTATAAAGATGAGGTTTCACCATGTTGGTCATGCTGGTCTTGAACTCCCAACCTCAGGTGATCCGCCCACCTTGGCCTCTAAAGTGCTTGGATTACAGGCATGAGTCACTGCGCCCGGCTTAAAGCGTATCTTGGCTGCACATTGGAATTACCTAAAGAATTGGGAAAACTCCTGTTACCTGAATTCCACCTGGAAAGATTCTAATTTATTGGTTTGAATTCCGGTAGGGATTGTTAATGCTCCCAGGTGATTCTACTGTGCAGCCAAATTTGAGAACCACTTTGATTAGCAGTTTGGTGCTGCCGAGTGTTTCTTCCACCCTTTCTCCAATGCATTTCACATTTTTTGTTTTTTTTTTTTCTTTCTTTCTTTTTTGAGAGAGTCTTGCTTTGTTGCCCAGGCTGGAGTGCAGTGGCACAATCTCGGCTAACTGCAACCTCTTCCTCCCAGGTTAAAGCAGTTTTCTTGCCTCAGCCTCCTGAGTAGCTGGGATTACAGGCATCCACCACCATGCCCGGTTAATTTGCGTATTTTTAGTAAAGACGTTTTACTGTATTGGCCAGGCTGGTATCGAATTGCCGACCTCAGGTGATCCACTGGCTTCACCCTCCCGAAGTGCTGCGATTACAGGCATGAGCCATTGCACCTGGCCACATTTGTTTTATAACAGTGCTTAGGTGGTAAAAAGGAATAGTATATTTTTCTGTGTAATGATTTCACAGAGTAGAAAACATGGATCAGTAGCAGCCTGAGGATCCTTTTCAGCGGTAATCAATGAAGTACTGAACCAATAAATCTGGCTCTAAGGAGAAGGTGGTGGTGGTGATGGGTAGAAATTAGTTCCCTCTGAATATTAAGATTTTTAAAGGGCTAGGCCTATAGGTTGTTGCTGTGCTGCCTATTTAGGGACAGGAGCTTGGCAAAAGGGGCTGGCTCCCATTTTTCCTAGCCTGCCTAGTATCTGCTATGGCTTCTTTTTAAATAAAACTGAAGGTAACCTGTGATTAGAAGACTGTTCTGTTTCTCTCCTCACCCCTGTCTTTGGCCTTACTTTTCGCATGCCTGCATTGTTTCATGCCCCGCTTCTGACCTTCCAGCTCCGTCTTCAAGTTGTTGAGTTTGTAGGGAAGGGAAATCAGAGGGATAAGTAAAGACTTGTTTTTAATAAATTAAGTTGTTTGTTGAACTTTTGTACAGAATTTTTGAAGAATTTGAAGAATATTTCCTTTGATATTTCAGATGGTCAAATAAAAAAAATGTTCCAAAACTTGGTGATATGAATTCATCATTTGAAGATGTAGATGCATTTTATTCTTTCTGGTAAGTGAATATACTGTTTGTATGATGCTGTCGTTTTTTAAAAGGAAAAATATTCAGTATGTACTTGCTTGTTTATAAATTAATTGAGATGGGCTAATTGCACAGTCTTCACTGAACAAAAGCATTCTGTTGCCTATGTGACATTTAGGCTTTTAAGATTTTCAGACTGTTTTCTATTAATAAGATACCTAGCTATCAAGCACATAATGGCAGTAAAAAATGAAAACTGGGGAGTCATTTGAATAAAAATAAGTACATTTTGATTTAGTTATCTTCCTACTAATAGTACTTAGTTCATGAGGAAGGAAACAGTGCTATTTGTCTCTGTAAATAATTGACTAATTTTTAATAAGCACAATAGTGGCCGTGTGCTACATTTTCTCATCAAATGTCTGCTAAATACAAAAACATAAAAACACATAGAACAAAAATAAGATTTAGTTCTGTCAGTTGTAAATGCTTTTTTTTTTTTTTTTTTTGAGACGGAGTTTCGCTCTTATTACCCAGGCTGGAGTGCAATGGCCCGATCTCGGCTCACCACAACCTCCGCCTCCTGGGTTCAGGCAATTCTCCTGCCTCAGCCTCCTGAGTAACAGCTGGGATTACGGCAGGTGCCACCATGCCCAGCTAGTTTTTTGTATTTTTAGTAGAGACGGAATTTCCCCATGTTGACCAGGATGGTCTCGATCTATTGACCTCGGGATCCACCTGCCTCAGCCTCCCAAAGTGCTGGGATTGCAGGCTTGAGCCACGGCGCCCGGCCCAGTTGTAATTGCTTTTACCTTTAGAGGATACAAACTGGAGATAAGATGACCATAACCACTATGAGGGTTACCTTCAGACTTAACAGAGTAGCAAAATTGAAGGCAAGGAACACCTAAAAATAGGTCTTGGTCAATCAAGCCAGAAACCTAACAAAGAAGACGTAGCAGGGAGATGTGGTTTTGATTATGGAGTGATGAGTGCATTTTAGATTTTCATACCAAATACAGAGTCATTAAAAAAAGAGAAAGACTTGAGCTTAGTGTTAGTTCAATACTAGAAGGTTGGGAAAGGTATTCATTAAAACAAATTCATCCACCTGGATTAAAAGGATTTTTTTTTTTCTATTTGTTCTGTTTTGATTGTATATTACTTCTGTCTATATTAGGTATAATTTTGATTCCTGGAGAGAATTTTCTTATTTAGATGAAGAAGAAAAAGAAAAAGCAGAATGGTATGTATGCAAATCATTAATAAAGGAGGGTATTTATTTGGTTCTCTGATATTTGTGATGGTGTAAAATTATGCCACATAGATTTTCTTTCATATTTTCTCTTGTACATCTTTTTTAAATGATTTAAATATTTTGAAATCCTTTCTCACAAGTTAATCTCGGGGGGCCCAGATTAATAGTTGGTTAGGATATGCTTAAGAAGTTGCCAAGGAATGTAATACTGTCAGATAGCTGAATTCAGCAAAATCTTTTTCTTCTAGTTGCTTAATCTAGGTTTTATTAAGTTTTTCCTGTATGTATACAGAAACGCTTTAGACATGAATGTCCAAAAAATAACCAAAATTAATATTAAATAGAAGCACTGTTTAGGCCAGGCACGCTGGCTCTTTGGGAGGCTGAAATGGGCAGCACTTTGGGAGGCTGAAATGGGCAGATCACCTGAGGTCAGAAGTTCAAGACAACCCTGGCTGACATGGCGAAACCCTTTGTCTACTAAAATACAAAAATTAGCCAGGCATGGTGGCAGGCACCTGTAATTTTAGCTACTCCAGAGGTTGAGGCAGGAGAATCTCTTGAACCCAGGAGGTGACAGTTGCAGTGAGCTGAGATTGTGCCACTGTATTACAGCCTGGGGAACAAGAGCAAAACTCTGTCTCAAAAAAAAAAAAATGATTGTTTAAAGTTGGTAATGACACAGCATTTTAACCTTCTAGAATGTTATTTACATATAAATATTTTATAAAATATTACATTTTCCAGTCATAACATCTGTAAGCAGTTTGTTTTCAATATTTTCTATTTTATAGTCGTGATGAGAGGAGATGGATTGAAAAGCAGAACAGAGCAACAAGAGCACAAAGGAAAAAAGAAGAAATGAATAGAATTAGAACATTAGTTGGTAAGTATAATTGATTTTTTTTCTAAGTCCCATAAATGTTAGAAATTCAAAATGAGATTAAACTTTTTCTTCTGGTAGACAATGCATATAGCTGTGATCCAAGGATAAGAAAGTTCAAGGAAGAAGAAAAAGCCAAGAAAGAAGCAGAAAAGAAAGCAAAAGCAGAAGCTAAACGGAAGGAGCAAGAAGCTAAAGAAAAAGTAAGATGACATTTGATGAAGCCAGACTTTAAATGTTTATGAAATAGTTAATCTTCATTTTTTTTTTTTTCGATACAGGGTTTCGTTTTTTTTTTTTTTTTTTTTTTTTTTTTTTTTCCTCCTGAGATGGAGTTTCACTCTTGTTGCCCAGGCTGGAGTACAATGGTGCAATCTCGGCTCACCACAACCTCTGCCTCCTGGGTTCAAGTAATTCTCCTGCCTCAGCCTCCCAAGTAGCTAGGATTACAGGCATACGCCACCATGGCCAGCTAATTTTGTATTTTTAGTAGAGACAGGGTTTCTCCATGTTGGTCAGGCTGGTCTGGAACTCCCAACCTCAGGTGATCTGCCTGCCTCAGCCTTCCAAAGTGCTGAGATTACAAGCGTGAGCCACCGTGTTTTACTCTTGTTGTCTAGGCTGGAGTGCAATGGCGTGTTCTTGTCTCACCACAACCTCCACCTCGCGGGTTCAAGTGATTCTCCTGCCCCGGCCTCCTGAGTAGCTGGGATTACAGGCACACAGTACCATGCCTGGCTAATTTTGTATTTTTAGGAGAGAGAGGGTTTCTCCAAGTTGGTCAGGCTGGTTTCAAACTCCCGACCTCAGGTGATCTGCCCACCTCAGCCTCCCTAAGTACTGGGATTACAGATGTGAGCCCCCCTGTCTGGCCCTCATATCTGTTCTTTTAAAAGACTATGATTTAGGCCTGGTGCAGTGGCTGGTGTCTGTAATCCCAGCACTTTGGGAGGCAAGGTGGGAGGATTACCTAAGGTCAGGAGTTCAAGACCAGCCTGATCAACTTGGAGAAACCCTGCCTCTACTAAAAGTACAAAACAATTAACTGGGCATGATGGCACATGCCTGTAATCCCAGCTACTAGGGAAGCTGAGGCAGGAGATTCACTCCAACCTGGGAGGCAGAGGTTGCGGTGACCTGAGATGGCCCATTGCACTCCAGCCTGGGCAAAAAGAGTGAAACTCTTGTCTCCAAAAAAAAAAAAAGACTATAATTTGAAAGCAGAGAATTGGGTGCTACTGTGAATGAATCATGACAAGTTGGTATAATCAAGAGAGATCTTCCTTACCAGCAGGTTTTTATTGAGCAAAAAAAAAAATGTTGTCATATAAGTCCTAATAAATGTTTATAGATCTTTACCAGCTACCTTTCCCAGTTCATCCTTCAGTTTTCAATAAGTTTATGTCACCTTTTTTCTTAATACAATTTATTCAAAGTTTAAATTCTTAAAATTATAAAGCATTTAGGAATTTTACTTAACTATTAAAATGATTTTATTCCCTATTTTTAAAGCAAAGACAAGCCGAATTAGAAGCTGCTCGGTTAGCTAAGGAGAAAGAAGACGAAGAAGTTAGACAGCAAGCATTGTTGGCAAAGAAGGAAAAAGATATCCAGAAAAAAGCCATTAAAAAGGAAAGGCAAAAACTTCGAAACTCATGCAAGGTCAGACTGAACAAACACTAGGCACAAGTAAATCAAGTTGCTGATTAAGCAAAAAAAAAAATATGTGTGTGTGTGTGTGTGTGTGTGTGTGTATTTTTTTTTTTTAAGATGCAGTCTTGCTCTGTTGCCCAGTCTGGCATGCTGTGCACAGTGGCAAGATCTTGGCTCACTGCAGCCTCCACCTCCCAGGTTCCAGTGATTCTCCCACCTCAGCCTCCCGAGTAACTGGGATTAGAGTCACATGCTATCATGCCTGTGTTTTTAGTACATACAGGGTTTTGCCATGTTGGCCAGGCTGGTCTCATATTCCTGACCTCAAGTGATCTGCCTGCTCGGCCTCCCAAAGTGCTGGGACTACAGGCGTGAGCCACCACACTTGGCCAAAATATTTATTTACAAAAAATATTTTTGTAAATAAAAAATTTACACGAGACAGAGTCTCGAGTTGCCCGGGCTGGAGTGCAATGATGCAATCTCGGCTCACTGCACAACCTTTGCCTCCCGAGTTCAAGTGATTCTCCTGCCTCAGCCTCCCAAGTAGCTAGGATTACAGAGTCTACCATCATGCCCAGCTGATTTTTAATATTTTTAGTAGAGATGGGGTTTCTCTATGCTGGCCAGGCTGGTTTCAAATCCCTGACCTCGTGATCTGCCCAACTCGGCCTCCCAAAGTGATAGGATTACAGACATGAGCCACCTGTGCCCGGCCAAAAAAATTTTTTTTTATTAAGTTTTCGTTGTTGTTGAGACAGGGTCTTACTCTGTCACTCAGGCTGGAGTACGGTGGCGCCATGACAGCTCACTGCAACCTCCACCTCCCCAGTTCAAGCCATTCTAATGCCTCAGCTAGCCAAGTAGCTGGTATTACAGGTGCACACTACCACACCTAGATAATTTTTGTATTTCTAGTAGAGACAGGATTTTGCCATGCTGTCCAGGATGGTCTCAAACTCAGCTACTAGGGAAGCTGAGGCAGGAGATTCACTCCAACCTGGGAGGCAGAGGTTGCGGTGACCTGAGATGGCGCCATTGCACTCCAGCCTAGGCAAAAAGAGTGAAACTCTTGTCTCCCAAAAAAAAAAAAGACTATAATTTGAAAGCAGAGAATTGGGTGCTACTGTGAATGAATCATGACAAGTTGGTATAATCAAGAGAGATCTTCCATCTTGTGGTGATCCGCCCATCTCAGACTCCCATAGTGCTAGGATTATAGGCATAAGCCACTGCACCTAGCCAAGGATAAATGTATTTTCTTTACTTTGCAAATATAACTAAACAAGGTCAGGTGTGGTGGCTCACGCCTGTAATCCTAGCATTTTGGGAGGCTGAGTGGGGCAGATCGGTGTTTGAGACCAGCCTGGCCAACATGGTGAAACCCCATCTTTACTAAAAATACAAAAATTAGCAAGGCACAGTGGCATGTGCCTGTAATCCCAGCTACTTGGGAGGCTGAGGCAGGAGAACTGCTTGAACCCAGGAGATGGAAATTGCAGTGAGCCAAGATCATACCACTTCACTCTAGCCTGGACGACAGAGTGAGACTCCATCTGGGAAAACAGACAAATACAACTAAACAAATACCATTTTATCTTAGTGTAAATGTTTTTAACCTTTTCTAAATTTCACGTGTGCATATTTCAGCTTTTCAACCCTAATAGTTTTTTTCTAAACATAATAATCTTACCATTATCAAACTAAAAAAAAGTTCCTTAATATTCTGAAACTGTCTATATTCAGATCCAGTTATCTCAGCAGTGTCTTTTTTTTTTTTTTTTTTGGAAACAGAGTCTTGCTCTGTTGCCAGTCTGGAGTGCAGTGGCGAGATCTCAGCTTACTGCAGCCTCCACCTCCCAGGTTCAAGTGATTCTTTGGCCTCAGCCTCCCAAGTATCTGGGACTACAGGTGCACAACACCATGCCCGGCCAATTTTTGTATTTTTAGTAGAGACAGGGTTCACCCTATTGGCCAGCTGATCTCAAATTCCTGACCTTGTGATCCACCCGCCTCGGCCTCCCAGAGTGTTGAGATTACAGGTCTGAGTAACTGCACCTGGCCTCAGCAGTATCTTTTTATAGTTGGCATATGCAAATTAGAACCCAAATAAGGTTAATATAAAGGCTTCGGTTATTGTGTCTCCTGGTTCTTAAGATCCTATAATTTGTAACAGGCCCCCTGTATCACCACTTCTCCCCACCTCACACCATTGCCACTGATTTGTTGGAGAAGCCAGACGATTTTTCTGAGAATGCACCACAGTTTGGTGTTAGCTTGTTGCTTCCTAATGGTGCAAAATTAACTTTTATCTTAGATTTTTAGAAGTTTAAACTTGTTTTCAAGGTCCTAAAAGTTTTCATTTTAATCTAAAGAGGTATGATTTGAGGGAGTACTGGTAGTTTTCATTCAAATACAATTTTCACTAAAAAGTATTGACCAAAACCCCAAATGTTTTGAAGTATAATTTTGACCAAGAGATACTCTTACATTTTATTTTTATTTTATTTTATTTATTTAAAAGGAAGTAGAGACAGGGTTTCACCATGTTGGTCAGGTTAGTCTTGAACTCCTGACCTCAGGTGATCGCCCACCTTGGCCTCCCAAAGTGCTGGGATTACAGGCGTGAGCCACCATGCCCAGCTGATTTTCTTACATTTTAAGCTTGTAAAGTCAGGGCAGTACTATTCCTTACTCTAAGCAGCACTGAATAAATAAATTGGTGAAATTCCAAGCTGTAGTAGAGATTGCCACACAAAGAATGTTGTGTACTACACCATTGTCCATTGTGTTTGAATCCAACAAGTATGTAAATGCTTAATATGTATAGAAAAATTGTTACCTTTCATGTGACTATCCAGAAGGCTGTAGACATGTATGGTCTAATATATGCCATCCTAAATCTTCAGATAATAATACAATTGAAATTAACCTGCCCCATCAGCAGACGTTGAAAGAGGCTAAATAAAAATACAAGCACTGGTTGTCTCTTTAGCATTTTAATAAGGAAAAAGAAAATCCAAATTGGAAAACATGTTTTTCTCGGATTCCACTGCATAGTAGATTGTTTTCAAAAGGGTGCAGTGTATCAAAGTGGTAAAGAGCATGGGCTCAGGGCAAGCTGCTTGGGTTCGAGGTTATTCTCTAGCTACCTCTTACTAGCTGTGGGATCCTCAGGAGGTTATCTCAACACCTTTGTGCCTCACTTTCCTCACCTCTACTGTAGTTGAAATAATAGCTAGTCATAGAATTGTGAAGATTAAATGAGATAATTCACATGCAGTACTTATGAGAACTCAATAAAAGCCTTAAAAAGGCCAATTAGGAAATAAAGCTTGAATAGCTCTTAGAGATTATGCATAAATGAGAGTAAATGTTCTGACGTTGGGTAACTTTGTTTTCTTGCTCCTTTCTCATGCAATGTATTCATAGTAAATGCTCCTCAGATACTGATAGATATCTGAGGAGCATTTACTGTGAACCAAGCAGTTATAGTAGATGTGGTTATAATGATTGCACAGTTCTTTCAAGTAGTCTGCTGATTGTGATGAAAAGTATACAAGCTATTCAAACACTTCAAGGTAGGTATTGGGATGAGAAGGTACCAAAAAGGTAGTCAAGGAACACATTCTGCATCTACTAGGATTTAGCCAGGCATAGCAGTATGTACACAGGATTAAGAGAGGTGGAGTATTGAGAATGCAGAGATCCAGAGAATGAGATATAATGAACCAGGGGCAACTGAGGAGGTAAGGGGGAGCCGGATCTTGAAGGGCTTTATATGTTTTGCTAAAGAGCTTAATCCGGCCAGGCGCGGTGGCTCACGCCTGTAGTCCCAGCACTTTCGGAGGCCGAGGCGGGTGGATCACGAGGTCAACAGATCGAGACCATCCTGGTCAACATGGTAAAACCCCGTCTCTACTAAAAATACAAAAAATTAGCTGGGCGTGGTGGCGCATGCCTGTAGTCCCAGCTACTCAGGAGGCTGAGGGAGGAGAATTGCCTGAACCCAGGAGGCAGAGGTTGCGGTGGGCTCAGATCGCACCATTGCACTCCAGCCTGGGTAACAAGAGCGAAACTCTGTCTCAAAAAAAAAAATAGCTTAATCTGATCCTGAGTTGGTCAGGGTGCTGAGAAGACTAGAGGCAGAGAGACTAAAATTTAGGAGTCTTGTACCCCCAAAACCTAAAATCCAATAAAAAATTAAAAAAAAAAAAATTTAGGATTCTTTTGCCACAATTCAAGTGAGATAGTATTGTGGCTTAAACTCTTAGAGATAGTAGGGAGAAAGGTAGATGAAATGGAGAGATATTCAGGAAGTAGACTAGTCTGTTGCCTGTTGGGATTGATTGTGTGTTGCAGGTAACAGAGGAGGAGTGAGATCTTTATATGCCTTGATGTGTTGCCTGGAATACTGGATGGGTGATGGTGGTAGCATTCAGGGCAGGAGAAGACAAAGGAGGAGGAAAAGACTGGGCAAAAAATGATTTCACTTTAGGGTGTTGAGCTTGTTGAGACACTCAAATGGAGATAACTGGTACGTGACTGAGTGTACAAGTTCAAGATCAGGACTGTCACAGACTCTTCCATATCTTCACAGCACTAGAAACTGCAGATAACACAAGATCACCCTGGGAGATATTATAGAGTGGGGAGAGTAGAGGCTGGGACTCTGGCAAAACACTAGTACTTAAGGTAGTAATAGAGGAAAAGAAACCTGAGAAGCAATGCCCAGGCAGGAAGGAAGAAAATTAGGAGTGCTTTTGGAAGGCTAGGGAAGAGTGAATAGTAAAAGAAGCATTGGAACCTTTGAGCCAGATTGCACGGATTAAGGAAGCAAGGAGAAGTGAGGAACAGGAGACATAAGTGTCAGCAGCAGCTTAAAACATGGGAAGTACTTGCCAATTACTTCTTTGTACATCATGCTGTTCCATTCTGAGCATAGTCTTTAGTTAATTGAAATTTTTGCTAATACCTCCTGTTCCTTAGCATACTATATCATCTTTTTAATTTCACATTTAAAATTTCCAGTAGATTTTACAGTTCAGCACACATTGGAACAGGCAGCTAAACAATGGAATTTTAATTTGAGTCATCATACAGAATTTCTTGATCCTGAAGTGATTCTCTAAGGAATCATTCTGACTTTTATAACATCCCTAGGTGTTTTTTTTTTTTTTTTCTATTTTCCTCCTCCAACTTGATATGGAATGCCTTGTATTGCTAGGTGATTACGGAGAGCCCTGGGAGGTACTGTGGACGTACTGCGGGTCGAGCAGAAGGCTATTATATATGTTCACATCAGGAATTTCTGAGAGCTCATGCTTTGTAATTGTGTTGATGGAGGTATTTTTTGAGTGTCAGTAAATGTGAGATAATTTTTGTGTTTGTGCTTTCAGACCTGGAATCATTTTTCTGATAATGAGGCAGAGCGGGTTAAAATGATGGAAGAGGTAGAAAAACTTTGTGATCGGCTTGAACTGGCAAGGTATACCTATGGAACTGCTATTGAAGTCTTCATTTGAACTTAGGATAAATTTTCATTTCTTCCTTTTTTTTTCTTTAGCTTACAGTGCTTGAATGAAACACTCACATCATGCACAAAAGAAGTGGGAAAGGCTGCCCTGGAAAAACAGGTAATAGAAGAACACATCACTGCAACCTATATTTAGCATTTAATTCTGTTTTAACCTGTTTCTTTACCTAATATATGTTACCAAGTGCAAGGTGTATCTGATTTCTCTTTGTGTCTCCCACTATGTTTTGTTTGTTTTTGACGCAGAGCCTCTCTCTGTCACCCAGGCTGGAGTGCAGTAGCATGATCTTTGTTCACTGCGACCTCCACCTCCCAGGTTCAAGTGATTCTCCTGCCTCGGTGTCCCAGGTAGCTGGGATTACAGATGTGTACCACCATGCCCGGCTGATTTTTGTATTTTTACTAGAGACAAGGTTTCATCATATTGGCCAGGCTGATCTCGAACTCCTGACCTCAAGTGATCTGTCTGCCTAGGCCTCCCAAAGTGCTAGGATTATAGGCATGAGCCACCACGTCCAGCCTGTATTTTGTTTATGTAGTAAGTGCTGTAGTTTATTTAAGTTGAATTTAATGTGTATGGTTTCTACCACGCTTAGTGTTTGATTTGTTGTATCTATCACATTGATCATAGGTTTTGCAAAATCATTAGAGAAAAATAATTGTTTTGATTATTCCCTAGTATTTTCATAGGGTAATAACATTTAGAACCAAAAGAGATCTTCATTCTGTCTAGTCTATACCTTTTATCTTGCAGATAAGAAAACAGGCCCAGAAATTCAATTCAGTTAAACAAGTATTAGTACCTACCATATAGCACTATGCCTAGGTTCTTTTGGGGAAACGCCTAATGCCATTTCACCACAAAGGACTTAGGCTGAGAAGAACCTTCAGGACCAAAAGATGGAGAGCCCATAGTAAATATAGGAAGGACCACAAGTTTTAGTGGCCAGGGAAGGTTCAGTGTTGAGTTTAAACCAGCCTGAAAGGAAGGACAGAGTTAAAATGAAGGTCAGAAGAACACCACAAACTATAAAATAGAAATAGAAGTATAAAGTATGGTTCAGCCTGAGCACAATGAGCAAAATCTCTACCAAAAATACAAAAATTAACTGGTCATGGTGTCATGTACCTGTAGTCCCAGTTTCTCAGGAGGCTGAGGTGAGAGGATTGCCTGAGCCTGGGAGGTCACAGTTACAGTGTTCTATGATCACATTGGTGCACTCCAGCCTGGACAACAGAGTGAGACTTTGTGTCAAAAAGCAGACCAAAAAAAAAAAATATATATATATATTTATATATTTATTTATTTATATTTTATATATATATATATATATATATATATATATATAAAGAGGTAAAAGTTATAGGGAAAGGATTGGGAAACAAAATCAGTTAGGAAAAGTAGAACCAATTATCAGGTTTATAATGCCATGATGACTAGTTTTCATTACTGCAAATCTTTGATTAACAGAAGGTTCAACACTGTACTGCTAATCTGATGTTTGTGGATAGAGTGCATCAGATAGATGTAACTAGTTACAAGAATCTTACTTTAGGAACACGCACTATGTGCCAGGCCAGGCCGGGCATGGTAGCTCACGCCTGTAATCCCAATACCTTGGGAGGCTGAGGCTGGTGGATCATCTGAGGTCAGGAGTTTGAGACCAGCCTGGCCAGCATGGTGAAACCCCTTCTCTACTAAAAATACAAAAATTAGCTGGGCTTGGTGGCTCATGCCTGTAATCCCACCTACTTGGGAGGCTGAGGCAGGAGAATTGCTTGAACCCGGGAGGCAGAGGTTACAGTAAGCCAAGATCACACCACTGCACTCCAGCCTGGGCAACAGAGTGAGACTCCATCTCAAAAGGAAAAAAAGAAAAAGAACCTGCACTATGAATGTGATGATGGGAATCAGAAAAAACTTTTTAAAGTTAGCATTATTGGGACTTTACTGGTTCTAAGGGATTGAAGGCAGAAATGAGCCAAAGATGCATCTGGCGGAAGCAACAAGGGCAAATAAAGGTTTTCTTTTTTTTACTTGCTCATGTTTGAAGGTAGACTAGAAGGAACAATGTAAATGGGAGAACTTCAAGATAAAACAGAGGCCATTTTGCCATCCCTTCACCTTTTTGTAGAAAATAAATGAGATTATCTGCAGAAAGGGTGAATATGAGTTTAAAGAGAGGTTTGAAATTTTGAAATGGTCTTGTGGATGAATAACTAACTCAGTGACCCATAGACTTGCCAATTAGTGTCCAAGAATGGAAGTCACATGACTTGAGTACTGGGAAGATCGTGCAGGCTGTGGACAGTTCCTGCTTCCTCAGGCAGACCTATGCAGACTGGAAGCCAGAGCAGGAAAAGCCAGAGTGAAAAGCTGGTGCTTGTTTTTGGGTTGGCCTGGGAGGAGTATGAGGTCAGAGTGAGAATGACATTGAGAGCTGAGGACGACAAAGGCTCAGCCAAGAAGAGAGTGTAGAATAGCAATATACTTTTAAGTCCCTGACCTATGATATTTGTGCAGATAGAAGAAATAAATGAGCAAATTAGAAAAGAGAAAGAGGAAGCTGAGGCTCGTATGCGACAAGCATCTAAGAACACAGAGAAATCAACTGGTGGAGGTGGAAATGGAAGTAAAAATTGGTCAGAAGATGATCTGCAATTACTAATTAAAGCTGTGAATCTGTTCCCTGCTGGAACAAATTCAAGGTACTGGTTTTAATGAAACTCTTCTACTCACACTGGAGCCCAGAGATAATGTAGATGAGACTCCAAATAGCAGCAGTTGTTATTACAGAAACTTGCAGAGATACGTTCTGTGTCACATTGGAAAAGTGTGAAAAGCAAGGTGCATTTTGAAGCTGTCAGTCTTACCCATTACACCAATACACATGCATGTATACACATGACAGAATGCTTCAGTTTCTCAGGAAATTGAAGATCATGAGACAAGTCTTGACTGTTACGTTGGCTTACTCTGTCATGGCTTGTGCTAGGGACTAGGTTTTCTGTAGTTTTTCTTTTACAGTCTTGCTCTTTGTTACTTATCTCAAGCTAGAGCTTGAGTTTAATTCAAAGAAAGCTGTAGAGATCCAGCGTCCCTAATTCTATAGATGAAACTAAGGCTGATTTCAGAATGACTGATCTGTTCTTAAATGTGTTAAATTGGCAGTATACACAAATAAGTGGTTTTATGTTGATTTGTACACAGAATCCACAAGATGTATGGACTTAAAACCAAGATTATATAGTTGATTTAAACTTATAAAAAGCAAAAACCATAGTCCAGGCAATAGTAATTTATAGGAACAGCATAACTAGACCACCAATTTGAGCTCATTCTGTACATATTATAACTAACCTTTCTGCAGTAAAAATCTAATGGTGTTTGTTTTGTTTTGTTTTTTGTTAATACTATTAAATTATAATATTGGTTGCTCATCCTATCAGATGGGAAGTTATTGCTAATTACATGAACATACATTCTTCCTCTGGAGTCAAAAGAACTGCCAAAGATGTTATTTGCAAAGCAAAAAGTCTCCAAAAACTTGGTGAGTTTTGAGAAGTCTGTTTGTTATTTTAAACAACTGTTTTTAAAATAACTTAGGCAACTTAATAAAAGATTAAATGAGATGATCTGTTAAGTATTAAAATTGTTTCATTTCTCAGACCCTCATCAAAAAGATGACATAAATAAAAAGGCATTTGATAAGTTTAAAAAAGAACATGGAGGGGTGCCTCAAGCAGACAATGCAATGCCGTCAGAACGATTTGAAGGTAAATTTTGCTTTTCTGTATGTAGAAAATGCTAGCCATGTATCTGTGCTGCTTGTACATACAAGACTTAGGGTCTGTGTTCAGAAAGACAGGGAAATAAAATGTTTAGCAGACTGGAAGCTGTAAGCAAACATTTCTAGGGCAAATTCACTTCAGCTAACCATTAAAAATGGAGAATTGCAGTTCTTCCATTTCAGATGCCATCAGAGAAGGGCTGTGTTTGTTTTGCTTACCAGGTTTTACAAATCAGTTAGAGGATGTTATTGGGACAGAAGATAGTGTTTTATCAAGGATAATTTCCTGATTTTGAAAAATGCACTGTAATTATATAAGAAAATGTCCTTCTGTTTAAGGAAAAGCAGAAGTGTTTAGGAATAAAGCAGCAACATGTCTGTAACTTACAGTTCAGAGCTAAGTACATCTGTACATATAAAGAATAAGCAAATATGAAAATGTTCCCATTTAGGGAATGTAGGCAGAGTATACAGGGATTCCTTCTACTCCTCTGAAATTATTTCAAAATAAAAAGTTAAAAATTGTTAGGGTTCAAAACCAGCCTGGGAAACATAGTGAGACGCTCCAAAACAAAAAAAAACCTGTTAGGATTTGATTATAGACCAGTGCTTTTCATATTAAAAACATGACCCAGTGATGGGTCATGAAGTCAATTTAGTGGGTCTTGAATAGAAAATAACAGTGAGCATTACATCTATTACATAGGAGGGTATATTTGTGAAACTTCTGTTCATGTGTCCTTGTGTTGGGATGTGATAAAGTTTTTTTTCTTGCTGTGACAAAAGTTTGAAAGCAGTTTGTGTGAAAAAAGTTCTTTCACTTCATACATTTGTGAGCCAGCAGTCCTTTCTTAATCACAGAGATGGCTTTTGATACCAATAGACTTGACTATGCACGATATATTTCATCTGAGAGTCCCAGTTTTACCTGTATTCTTAATCTGGTTTATTATCCAAAAATTTCAGCTTAAAGATAGGAGACTTACAGTGTTATATAGAGGAGGAAAATCAGTTTGCAAAAATCAGGGGTGACCTGTTTGGCTGAATTAGGCATTATTTCAATTCTTTTAATAAAGGTAAGTAACAAGCACGGTTTCAGAACACTTTGAGGACACTTCTAAAGGGGTTTATTTTCCTGCTCCTCTGTCTTCACAAAATACAACAGGTTTAGCACACTATTCTCAGCTCTTAGGGGACTGGTTCGCATGTTGAGGGAGACAGGCCTCTCATAGTTGTCCAGTCTGCCTTCTGTGAGGAGAGGGGACACTGGGAAGGCAAGGGTGATGGCAGTAGTGCTATGTGGGTATGATTCCTTTACCTGTCTCTTTAATGTAAATGGGAAGGCTCCTTCCTCTTCAGTTGTACCATTAAATAACAAGCTGGAACCATTTTTTGAAATAGTGATTTCTCATAGGAGTTTTGCAACACTAGCTTCATTTATTTTGGTATTGTGAAGTAACTGGAGAACAGCAGGAAATACTGCCATGTCACTTCCATCTTTTTTCCAAGAGAGGAAATAAAGTCTGTGGAATTTAGGGCTTTAAACCAATACAAGGAAATTCAACAAATGACCTCCTAGAATTTAAAAGCCACCTTCAAAAAATGTTATACAAATTCTCTGCCTGGTTTTGAATAGTTGGGGTTTTTTTCTTTAATTAGTAAAAAACTTTGGTTTCTAGGCTTAATTTTGTACCATATCTCACAGGATATACTGGTAGTATTAGGTCTGTGTTTTCTCACTGCATGGTCTGAAATAACTAGATTTCCGGAATTCCATTAACTTAACCAAATCAGCTTTTTACCACTTAACATTCTCATTTTACCTACTGAAGTGGACTGTGTAATACTTAACATCCTTAAGAAATATATTTGTTTCTGACACACATCTTAGATGTTTAGTTGAAGAACCACAATAGCAGTTACTGGAAGTGTTTAGCATTGGCTCCCAAGATTTTAACAGATGTGGTGAACGTCACACTACTACACAGTCTAATCTCAGCTTGCCTTTTAATTCTGGTAGGTTTCCTTCAGTGTGAAACAGCAGTGGTTTCCAGAGTTTCTATCCAGCAAAAGTTTAACTGTGAGAAAGCTCTTTTACCTATCCTGTAAGGAAGTAGATTTATTGGAACTCTTAAATGAGTTTTGGCTGTTTTTGAGCCCAAGACTTCAACAGTAGTATAAATTTAAATATGGCTTTCTTTCCAGTCTGGTGAGTGTATTACATTGATTGTCTCTTACAAAACAGTACAAGGCAGATCTTTACTAGTGTTTAAAAGCTTTTGAGATGTTTTACTTTCTGGGATGTGAACCATCTGTTTTTTCTCTTATTAACACACACAGGTATATGTGTCTGTGGTATATGTGTGTCTCATCTCTAGAAGTTTTTCCAAATGACACATCCCAGATTGAAATGAGCACTTAGCAGACATGTGTGGACTCAAAGACTTGTGTCTGGACACCTTTTCTTAAGAGTTTTTTAATCAAGTTAACAGTTTTCAAACAAAAATTTTTCTTATACAGGTCCATACACGGACTTCATCCCTTGGACAACAGAAGAACAGAAGCTTTTGGAACAAGCTTTGAAAACATACCCAGTAAATACACCTGAAAGATGGGAAAAAATAGCAGAAGCTGTGCCTGGCAGGACAAAGAAGGACTGCATGAAACGATACAAGGTTGCAGATTTAGAGTTTATAGATTGTTATATTTTCAATTGTAACTTGGGTTATATAGTATCATTTACTTTGGTATTGTGAAGTGGGGAGAGAAGAGCAGGAAATACTGCCATGTCACTTCCATCTTTTTTCTGAGAGGAAATCAAATCTGTAGTATTTAGGGTTATGTAGTCTAGGTTATATAGTTTAGGTCATATTTTATGTCTATTAAGTGGTTAATATAGTGCTTATTTCAATACCAGTAGTTATGGGGCCAATATTAGGAAGAAATGAGCAGCCTTAGAAACTTTCTTGAATTCTTTACATATTTATACCAAACACTACATTAAAATGTCTGTTTTTTAATTCTGACAACTTCTTAAATCACACCTTTCTCCCTTCCTAGGAACTTGTTGAGATGGTAAAAGCAAAGAAAGCTGCTCAAGAACAAGTGCTGAATGCAAGTAGAGCCAAGAAATGACTTAATGACAATCTTTGTTATGTGTGCATTTTTATAATAAAACTGAAAATACTGTAAACATTTTCATTCTTAAAATTATACCTATGGTAATAATTTAAAGTGTGCCCCTTCCAACATAATTTCTCAGAGGATAAGGACTGACCGCTGATGCAAAATAACCTTCAGAGTACGGGTAGTCTTTTTATCCTTTGAAAGTATGATACAGCATTTCATTTAAATTTCCAAATGTATATACATGTTTATTTTTTTCTAGGTCTTAGTTTTGTGTGTGTGTGAGATGGAGTCTCGCTCTCTTGCCCAGACTGGACTACAGTGGCACAATCTTGGCTCAGTGCAACCTCTGCCTGCAGGTTCTAGCAATTCTGCCTCAGCCTCCCAAGTAGGTGGGACTACAGGTGTGCGACACCATGCTCAGGTAATTTTTTTAATTTTTACTAGAGATGGGGTTTCACCATGCTAGTCTCAAACTCCTGACCATGCAATCCGCCCACCTCAGCCTTGCCAAGTGCTAGGATTACAGATGTGAGCCACCGTGCCCAGCTCAAAAAATTTTCGTTAGGAGTATTTTAATCACGAAGCCAACACATGTTACTGCAAATCTGATTAAAATCTGGTAGTTGCTCAATGGGACCTGAGGATTAAAAAGAAGACAGTTAAAAGAATTCAAAGTACTTGACCAACTTTTTGTATAGAAGAAAAGAAGTTGGGCTTACCAACAGCAGCAATAGCTGGACTCTTATTATAAATATATTTGGTACATACTTCTCGAATTGTCTCAGCATTCACAGCCTGAAACATGGAAGACATTGTCATTCAGCTTTCTGTAGTAAAGACAAAGTCTATACCTGGAACTTTTTTAAACTAAAGCAAGATAAAAGATACATATTCTCAGCTTTTTGTAACCCCAGTAGTAACTAAGGACTACTTACATCAATTCTTACTTCAAGCTCAGGGATGGGAATCCTTCTATTATAGCATAACATCTGCCTACCAATATCTTCACAAATTGGAGTTGAACCTGTTTAAAGAGAAGGAAAAATTAAGTGTTAGAATATAGAAAATAGAACCTGTGTCTGGGCGCGGTGGCTGTAATCCCAGGGGAGCCAGATCACCTGGGTTAGGAGTTTAAGACTAACCTGGCCAACATGGTAAAATCCTGTCAGTACTAAAAATACAAAAAATTAACCAGGTGTGGTGGTGGGTATAGTCCCAGCTACTCTGGCAGCTGAGGCAGGAGAATCTCCTGAACCCAGGAGGTGGAGGTTGCAGTGAGCCAAAGTTGCACCACTACACTCCAGCCTGGGCAACAAAAGCAAAACCCTGTCTCAGAAAGAAAAAGGAACGTATGTCTTTATTTTTACCATCAAGCTGCAACAACATGTTTGTTTTCAGAAGATTTCTGGCTCGTGCAACCTCACTTTCAGTGACACTTGTACAGAGTCGCATCCTAGAAATATTTGGAAAAACAGTATTATCAAGTAGTTGGAAAATTTTGTATTTCATTAGTTAATGAGCTAAGGTGCCATATTCTACACATGACATATAGGTGATTATGATTTAATCCCAATGCTAAGCAGAAGCTAAAATGATTCTTGATTTTCTCTACTATTGTTAATTTCTCATTGATAGGCAAACATGTCTACACATTAGCAGACAAAGGTTTAATACAAATAGGCTCACATTTTCAGAAATGCTTTAAGCATCTTGAGACTTCATGAATCCCCATCTGTTGGTGTTGGATATGCTATGGATTAAGTCAGTGGATCATTCATTGGTCTCTCAAAACAATGAGTTGAGTTTAACTTAAACTTAATTTTTAACTTAATAATTATATCCTAGTTGACTAGATTTATAAAGATGTAAGCCAGTTAAGAATAGTGGGAGAAAGGAACCAGAGCCAAAAGTTTTCCAACAAGTTGTGAGCCTTTCTGCTCATCTACTGAGTCAATATGCTTTTCTTTTAGCAATGGCAACTTTAGATTTACTTTCCCTCCCAAGCCAGACTACTTTCAGAGATATTTTCCCAACAACTTCTAGTTGGCTTTTAAACTTTTAGGGTCACTTTTCTGAATATCTGAAACATTAAAACTTTCTACAGTATAAATTAGCTTTACATCTTAAGACTTAGGAAAAAAATGTCTGAATCTTTAAAAACATAGTAACTACTGTTTATCTAGTTCTCTTAATTAAAAGGTAAAACTACCACAAATCACCATATAGAAAAAATCAGTCTAAAACAAAAGCAAAATTTACTTAAAGCTATTTTCTCACCATTCTTTCTGAACAACATGTAGCATGTCTCCAACGGTGGCTGGTTCACAAACCATATACAGTCCCCATAATCCTGTATCTGTGTAGGAAGTGTTGAAAGACTGAAAGCTATGGCAAAGGTTGCCCTGACAAGTGAGCTGGGCCAGCTTGCTAGATAAATTCTATAAGGAAAAAAAATTCCAAGATAATTTTAAGTACAGATATCCAAAATACCAGAAAGAAAAATGAAATGTGTGGAAAATAGTTAGTATCCTTAGAGGCTAAATTTCCCAGTTTTATTCAGCATCTCAGTAGTAAAGTTCAGCGCAACTAAAAACTGTGCTTATCTCACCCACTGCACCCCCTGGAGAAATTCATGATATAAAAGCAATGAATCCTTATAATGAATGTAGTAGCTGTACCTAATTCTAAAACTAGATTGCTATTATCAACCCAATTTGTAGGGCTCTTGGCTACAGATAAAGATTCAAAATTCTATTACATATGAAGCTTAAGATTTTTAGACGAAATGTATTTTGGGGAAATCTATGAGTAAAAACAAATCTATACAATGTTTTGAAATACTTCCAACTTAAAAAGAAGTTGCAAAAACAACACAAAGAATTCCCTTTATCCAAATTGCCTGTTATTTTACCATGTTTGCTTTATTCTCTTTATACAAGTTTTTTCAACTGTTTCAGAGTTTAGATGTGATGCTTCTTGTAAATACTTACATGTACTAAATACTTTAGTATGTACTTGTGAAAAACAAGGAAATTAATGTTTTTACATCACCTCAGTATAGTTCCTCAGTATCTGTGGGAAACTGGATCCCTGTGGATACCAAAATCCATAGAAGCTAGAGCCCTCATGTAACATGGTGCATGTAGTATTTGCATATAACCAACCTACGAATACACTCCTCTATACTTTATCTCTAGATAAATATCAAATCCATGTAAATGCTATGTAGTTAATATATAGTTTAGGACGTGACTCAAAACAATAGTCTATATGTTCGGTACACACACAACCATCCATTTCGTCCTCTAAATTATCCACCTATGGTTGGTTGAATCCATGGATATTGAATCCACGGCTATAGAGGGCCTACTGTACTATTAAAATTAGGAGGTTAACATTGATATAGTACTTTTAGCTAATTCTTCTGTCCTTATTCAAATTTTGCCAATTATGCCACTAATAAACTTGGCAAAGAAACAAAATGTTTTTTTCTGACCCACATGCAATCCAGGATCAGTTTTTTTTTTAAGTCAGAATTCACAGTACAAGGCTCTATTTTGCCACTTTAAAAAAGGATTCTTAAAGAGAACTTATATTTAGGAAAACATGATCATCTTCCATCTGTTATGGAAAATTTCTTTTAAAATCACTTACCATTCCTCCTCCAAAAGAGCGATCCCAGTTGCCAATCAGCGTGTTTGCAACCATAAGACATATTGTATCTGGATGTGCCCAACCAACAGCTTCAACAGCTATTGCAAGGTGTGCCAAAGGCATCTTGTCATCCCTCATACGAATCTAGTTAAGATAAAGCAGGGGGACCTCTAATTAAGATTACCATTATATAACATGCTTATTAACAAGAAAAAATCACCAGTTCCATTAATTGCAAAGTTAAAATGCTCACCAGGACTCTATTTTGATTTTCTAACTATCAGGCCTTATTACATTGTATAGTTTAATCTAGAAAAACTTTATGGGTTAAGGAAAAATTACTCTTCCCAAAAGATTTTCAGCCAGCCACCACATGGTTTACATGGTCAAAAAGTGTTGCATTATTTCACTGGTAGAAATCTATCCTTTATGTTTATCAATCTGATTTTTTCTTTTTTCTGAAACCAACTCTTGTTCTGTCACCCAAGCTGGAGTGCAGTGGCACGATCTTGGTTCATTGCAACCTCTGCCTCCCAGGTTCAAGCAATTCTGCCTCAGTCTCCTGAGTAGCCAGGACTATAGGCATGCACCACCATGCTCAGCTAATTTTTGTATTTTTAGTAGAGACAGGGTTTCAAAATGTTGGTGAGGCTGGTCTTAAACTCCTAACCTAAAGTGATACACGCACCTCAGCCTCCCCAAGTGCTGGGGTTACAGGCGTGAGCCACCATGCCTAGCCTTAATCTAAATTTTTCTACTGAAATTTCATATTGACATTACAGGTTCATTTTTGTACTACCAATAATACAGTTCTAGGCAACTGCCAATATCAGGGCATTTTCCAGATACTACTTTGAGCATCATCCTTAACATGGCAAATTAAGCCCCTAATGAGGCTTTAAGCTAGGTGATAACTAGCAGATTCTGTGCAAGTTCTGGCTCTAACAGTTACTAGCCCCCAAAACACACTGTGGGCAAAACTGAGCCAAAAGTAAAACTGAAGTGAAAGTCAAAATATGGAGTTTAATTAAAAGATTACTTTCAGATCTTACAATATATAAATGGGCCTAGTGCCAAAGAAAAACCACAAAAAGACCAAATTATAAACTGCTCTTAAAACCTTGCTTCCCACTTTGGGAGGCCGAGGCAGGTGGATCACGAGGTCAAGAGATGGAGACCATCCTGGTCAACATGATGAAACCCTGTCTCTACTAAAAATACAAAAAATTAGCTGGGCACAGTGGCGCGTGCCTGTAATCCCAGCTACTCAGGAGGCTGAGGCAGGAGAATTGCCTGAAACCAGGAGGTGGAGATTGCGGTGAGCCAAGATCACGCCATTGCACTCCGGCCTGGGTAACAAGAGCGAAACTCCGTCTCAAAAAAAAACCTTGCTTCCTTTCAGACTAGAATGAAGAAATTAAAAGCAGAACAAACTTGCTTCCTTAGGAAAGGAAAATAGGTAGTGAAGGAATAGGAAGAGGGAAGGAATGTAAGCAAATGAGTAAATCCTCTTCCCTTTTTGTGTTTCAGTGTAAGCCTTTTATTCCATTCTATTCCTAATGGAAATAAGCACATTTTGTATACTTATGTGTATATACAACACAAGGAATCCAACAGGCTACATACTAGCCGGGAGGCTTGCCCTACCTCACTTCCTGTGAATTTGCAGGGAGGCAGAGCTGGTATTTCTCCTTTGTGTGTGCATAAAGAGTCACCAAAATGCAACTTTGCTAAGTCAAGCAATTCATCATGGGAAACACCTAAATTGAAAGAAAATATTTTTGCCACATTACCCATCTGACCTGAACTTGGGAAAAAAAAGAAAAAATATTTTCACATGTTATCTAGCTGCAATATAGTATAATGTGATGTAACATTACACATGAACTATCTGCACTTACTAAAAGCAATTATTTAAGAGTAAGCTCACAAAGCACACCTCTTTCCTTGGTGTTGCAAAGCTTGGGATTGCACGCTTTCTTTCTCATTTTGTAGAGCAACTGACAGTTTTCATCAACAGACCAATGGATTCACAGCTAAGAGTAAGACAACTTGAAAACACCACTTTTGACAAAATCCTATTCTATTAAATTATAAAGACTTCTAGGATGCAAACTAGCAAACATGCCAATTAAAAAAAAAAATTTAGAAAATGCAAATATGGGCTCTATCTAATTAAAATAAAACTGAAGCTGGGCATGGTGGCTCACGCCTATAATCCCAGTACTTTAAAAGGCTGAGGTGAGAGGATCACTTGAGTTCAGGAGTTCAAGACCAGCCTGGACAACATAGCAAGACTCTGTCTCAATAACTAAATAAAAGAAGCTGGATGCCGTGGCTCACACCTTTTATCCAAGCACTGCGGGAAGCCAAGGTGGGCAGGTCACTTGAAATCAGGAGTTCAAGGCCAGCCTGGCCAATATGGTGAAACCCCATCTTACTAAAAATACAAAAATTAGCTTGGTGTGGCAACAGGTGCCTGTAATCCCACCTTTTCAGGAGGGTGAGGCAGGAGAATTGCTTGAACCCAGGAAAAGGTTGCAGTGTGCTGAGATCACACCACTGCACTCCAGTCTGGGTGACAGAGCAAGACTCTCTCTCTAAAATAAATAAAGGTGGATACACAGATATACTTTATTCTCTGCACTCTGCTATCAGAACTCAGGAACACAATAGTGTCATCTAATTTCTGAATACATCCATAGGTATCCAAATGCAAAAACTTAGGAATAACTTATACTCCATATCCCTTACTATCCGAACTTGGGACCCAAATAGATAATATGAAAGATTCCTAAACACAAATATTAAACTTAAAAAAAAATTAGGCATGTATAAGGGCTTTAAAATATGGTAAGATTCTTTAACTTAAAATATAGAATTATAATTTTATAATAAATGAAGCTAGGATACAAAGAACTATTTGGCAAATAAAAGCCTGAACATTAACCTAGAAGAGTTAAATGGTAACCAAGACAGTATTCAAAAGCCAGTAGAAACTTAAAACTGGCCTATTTCATTGAATTTAAGATGCAATCATAATTCATAAGGCACTATGTCACTTACGTAGTATTTAAGATGAATACTAATTAATCTACAACAAGCCATTAAACTAAAGATATCCCAACTTTAGCTATGTCAAAATGAACCCATGAACCAAAGTAAAAGTCATTTTGTCCATATGCCACCAACAATGGCAGAGAGACCACAGAAAGTTTGGTTGTTGAGGACCCACAAAACAAGTCTCTTGTTCCATTTCCAAGTTTCAAACGTTTAAGACCCAGTCAGCAAGAGCCATTTTAGAAACAATGTTACTTAAGAGAATTTCAGAGTGTGCTTCCTGTGACATGCAATGAAGTTAACATGACTTTGGCTAGGTGCTACAATGAATAACATGTTTGATATTTAATGTTTTCATCCCTCCATTACCCCCAAGTAATTAGGTCAGAAATCCAGAGTAACTAGAATTTTTAAATTATAATTTCTAAAAAGAGAAAAATTAAATTTACAACATGAAAAACTTCACTTTGCTCTAATATTAAAAAAGACGGAGAAATGAAAACTGGGCTGGGTGTAGTGGTTCATGCCTGTAATCCCCAAGGTTTGGGAGGCCAAGGTGAATGGATCACTTCAGCTCATGAGTTCAAAACCAGCCTCAGCAACATGGTTAAGACTCCATCTCTATTTCTATAAATATATTTTTTAAAAAACTGGAACCCCATTAAAACATACTGTTGCCTAGGTTCAGACTGCCAGGAAATTTGGCAATAGGTGCTGTAATTTGTTTTTTCATTCACTGGCTTCAAACAGGACCTCAAGGAAACCTTCTGCAGTCACCTGCATGTTTGGATTCCCATTCAACAGTCTCATGGCTCCCTATGTGCTTCCCTTTCCCAAAAATTAGATCTATTAAATGAATGATTGAACAAATGAAAGAATGAACAACATACCCATTCCATGCTTAAACAAAGACAAAGTTAGTTCTCAAGAAATAATTTTAAATCTCAAGAAATTCTCAAAGTACAGAACACTTACCTTCCAGCTGTCTACCAGTTCACTCATTTGCCCTTTTCTTGGAAGTTCTACTATGTATGTACACTTAAGTATTGAACAATTCATTAATTCTTTCTATAAATGAAACCTACTTTTAAAAAAATAGAGGGGGTGGGGAGTTGGGGAGAGAGAGCGCGGGAGAAATGCCAGATATAGGTGAAGGGGAGGAAGGCAGCAAATCACACTGCCAGTGTGTACCTATGCAACTATCTTGCATGTTCTTCACATGTACACCAAAACATAAAATGCAATTAAAAAAAAAAAAAAATAGAGGGGAAGAAGGCCCTGGCCAGCATCAACACTGGGAGCCTCATCTACAATGTAGGGGCTGGTGGACCTGCTCCAGCAGCTAGTGCTGCACCAGCAGGAGGTCCTGGTTCCTCCACTGCTGCTGCTCCAGCTGAAGAGAGGAAAGTAGTGGCAGCAAAAGAAGAATCTGAGGAGTCTGATAATGACATGGGCTTTGGTCTTTTTGACTAAGCCTCTTTTATGTGTTTATAGTTTGGGAATGTGCTCTGTGGAAAAAAAAAAATAGAGGGAAAGTCTGGCTCCAGTGCTCCACATTCCCCATCACAGTATGAAATACAGTTAGTTGCTATGTAAATGAAAATTCTTAGGATATCTCCCAATGGGATCAAACTGGCATATCACTCCAGCAACTGTGTTTAAAATACGTGTAGAAATTTAAGTTGACTAACCTCCAGCAGCAGCAAGAACTATTCTTGGCCCCTTGTAATGTGTGGTTATATAATCCACTAAGTCCTTACGACTTATAGATCTGCAAATGAAGTAAAACAATTTTTAAAGGAAACAAATTTACATAATATACCTGAAATCAAATTGGACCATAACAGTATCCTAAAATGCAGTTTGGAAATAGGATATAGGCAACACATCAAAGAACTTCCAACTTTTTTACATCCAGGAAAAAAGATTTGACACCATTACTTGTTTATTCCAGAAATACCTATGAACTCACATGATTGGGAGATAGGTGGGACTAAAAGATAGCTAACTACAATTTCACTAAGATTACCAGGGGAAAAATGACTTTTTGAAACATACTTTTTCAAAGTTTGTAAATGTTAATTTTCAAAATTCATAAATTCCCTTACCCACCAAGAAATTCTGAGAGTTATACCTACTTGATATTTTCAGTTGGTCCCAAAATTGTCCGTCCAAGTGCAGTATTTTGATAAGCTGTGGCATGAAGATAATCAAAAACAACTTCTTGTAAATTGGTTTCAACTTCTTGCATCTCTCTAAGGATTACTCCACGCTCACGTTCAATCTCTGCTTCTCCCAGTGTGCTGTTTTGTATGATATCAGCAAGAATTTCTACAGCTAATTGAAAATAAAACGTAAGAAACACCAGCAATCTTAACTTTCACTATTAACGTTTATTAAACCAACATCAGAAACATGACACTGACACCATCACTCGATACTAAATAATCAGCCTAGGAGAAAAATATACTTAAAAGGACATAATTAAAATTTAATATATCCCTATAGCACTAAAGATTTTTCCTTGGGAAAAAATTATAAATTTGCCATCACTCTGTAACAACTCTACCTACTTCAAAAATGCTATGGAAATATGCCTATTAATATAGATTGTTCTATATGAAAATTACAAAGTTACGGCCGGGTGCGGTGGCTCACGCCTATAATCCCAGCACTCTGGGAGGCCGAGGCGGGTGGATCACAAGGTCAAGAGATCGAGACCATCCTGGTCAACAAGGTGAAACCCCGTCTCTACTAAAAATACAAAAAAAAAATTAACTTGGCATGGTGGCACGTGCCTGTAGTCCCAGCTACTCGGGAGGCTAAGGCAGGAGAATTGCTTGAACCCAGGAGGCGGAGGTTGCGGTGAGCCGAGATCGTGCCATTGCACTCCAGTCTGGGTAACAACAGCGAAACTCCGTGTCAAAAAAAAAAAGAAAATTACAGAGTTATAAATATTAGTCTGAAAACATCTAGCTACGTATATACACAGGATTCTCATCACCCAAGTATTTACTATGCAAGTTTCCACAGCAATGAGAGTGCTATGTTAAGAAGCAAAGAACTGGCCAGGCACAGTGGCTCACACCTATAATCCCAGCACTCTGGGAGGCCAAGATGGGCTTGATCCCAGGAGCTGGAGACCAACTTGGGCAACATGCCCAAATCATGTCTCCACAAAAATTAGCTGGGTATGGCGGCATGTGCCTGTAGTCCCTGCTACTTGGGAGGCTGAGATGGAAGGATGGCTTGAGCTTGGGAGGCAAAGGTTGTAGTGAGCTGAGATTTTGCCACTGCACTCCCGTCTGGGCAACAGAGTGAGAAAAGAATCCTTATAATCAAAAATACACCCCAAAATGAATAACTTACAGAATTGTGTGTTCTCAAACATTAATTGGCAAAAAGCCAAAAGTGAAGTGGAAGATGTCATATTAAGCCATTAAGCAATTTTATCAGAAAAAGTGCATACCTCTCCAAAAAGAAATGTAATCCATTATTGAAGAATTAGTATATAGTTGCAATCATAATCTAAATGTCATTAATACAATTAATGTTATAAGATAAACTTAAAATCTTAAGTTTCTCTTCTTCCTATGTCTCCATAATGAGACAAAGTCTCATTATGCCACACAGGCCACACTCAAATTCCTGGACTCAAGCAATCCTCCCACCTCAGCTTCCTACAAGTAGCCAGGACTAAAGGCATGCACCACTGTGTCCAGTTTAGGTTCAATTTTTTTACTCTACTGTAACCTTTTGTTCCTTGTTTTTTTTTTTTTTTTTTGAGACGGAGTTTCGCAGTTGTTGCCCAGACTGGAATGCAATGGCACGATCTCGGCTCACTGCAACCTCCGCCTCCTGGGTTCAAGCAATTCTCCTGCCTCAGCCTCCCAAGTAGCTGGGACTGCTGGTGTGCACCACCATGCCCAGCTAATTTTCGTAGAGACTGGGTAGAGACAGGGTTTCACCTTGTTGACCAGTATGGTCTCGATCTCTTGACGTCGTGATCCACCCGCCTCGGCCTCCGAAAGTGCTGGGATTACAGGCGTGAGCCACCACGTCCAGCCTCTCAACTTTCTTACCAGTAATAAGTGATTATAAAAACTTGCAGATCATTAGTCTGAACATCTATTAACTCATATACCAGGCTTCAACCAGTTGAAGGTATAAAAACCTCAAGTAGATCCCCAAAGTTGGAGCTGCTTCAGAGAGCACTTCTATTTTGTATTCTTCAAGGAGATCCCCCTCTGCTTTTCCACACCCACTAGAAGAGGCTGTGTCCTTCCCAGCCAGATGCCAGGAGAAAAGGGGGAAAAGTCTTTTTAACATCACCCTTGCTTTTTCTTTCCCATTTTTGTCTTCCCTGTTGTTCTGTGTGTGTATACAAAGGAATTAACGGGGCTGGAATGAACAACTCTTAGAGAGGCCTGGCCTAGCCCTATGTTCTTGGTCCCTAATTAGTCCTGGGACAAAAACTGTTTCTATTGGCTTTGTATCAAACCAACACACCCTCCATGGTTGCTGTCATTTTTGTTTCAATGCAAGAGTTAGGGCATCATATTAAATATTTTAGTTATTTACAGGTGATAGGTTTCTTATTTTGTTGTCTTGACAAAGTAAATGAATCTAGTCAGAAGACATGCACTTGAGTCCACAGTAAGTCATCCGATAGCTGTGCAATCCTGGGCAAGTCAGAGTCTGGGCTTTCATTTCCACAACTGCAAGGTGGAAACACCTATGCAGACCAAATGGATAATATATATACAGTACTTGTGTAAAGTGCCATTTAAACATTATTAATGAAAGCCTATTAGGAACCCAAAAGTTGCAAAGTAATAACAACTACAGAGGGACCTTAAAGGTTAATAATTTCACCAGTGGCCATGTGCAGTGACTCATGCCTATAATCCCTGCACTTCGGGAGACTGAGGTGGGTGGGTCACTTGAGGTCAGGAGTTTAAGACCAGCCCAGCCAACATGGTAAAAATCCCATTTCTACTAAAAGTACAAAAATTAGCCATGGTGGCAGGAGCCTGTAATCCCAGCTACTCAGGAGGCTGAGGCAGGAGAATCACTTGAACCCAGGAGGTGGAGGTTGCAGTGAGCTGAGATCATACCACTGCACTCCAACCTGGGTGACAGAGTGAGACTCTCTTTCTAAGAAAAAAAAAATAATAATTTTACCAATTACCTCTAAAACTGCTAAATTTTGTTAATTTTTCCACTGGGAAAATGTTTTGTGTAATAACTTTATGACAGTCAAAACAGTCTACAAACATAACTACAACAAACTGCTATCCTGTCAAAGTAACTATTTTATTTCCACCAAATAATCTCTATTTTATTGCTACATGTTCATAAAATCATCCATAATGTTACTATTTGTCATATTTAGAAAAAAAAAATAGGCCAGGTGCAGTGGCTCATGCCTGTAATTCCAGCACTTTGGGAGGCCAAGGCGGGCGGATCACAAGGTCAGGAGTTTGAGGCCAAGGCGGGCGGATCACAAGGTCAGCCTGGCCAATATGGTGAAACTCTGTCTCTAGTAAAAATACAAAAAATTAGCCAGGCGTGGTGACGAGCGCCTGTAGTCCCAGCTACCCAGGAGGCTCAGGAGGCTGAGTCAGGAGAATTGCTTGAACCAAGGAGGCAGAGGTTGCAGTGAGCCAAGGTCACTCCACTGCATTCCAGCCTGGAAGACAGAGCAGCGAAACTCGCACACACACACACACACACACACACACACACAAGATTGCTGTACCCTCACCCAGAGTTCAGTTTCATTTTTTCCCATTTCTGGGGCTTACTCTTTTACAAGAGACATAATAAAAATAGTACTAAATAATTTCTGGTTCTCATAAAAATTATATTATCTGCTGTAAATAATAACCATACCTCTTGGCAAGTCTTTAGAGAATGCTTTGGCATAGTATACGGTCTGCTCTCTGGAGGTATAGGCATTGAGATGAGCACCCATGTTTTCAATCTCAAGTTCCAAATCTAACTGGGATCTCTTTTTGGTGCCCTTGAAATAAAAGAGGAAAAACAAATTATGAAACCTCCCTTTATCCTTTCTATTTTAAACACTTCAGATCATGAATATGGAGGACATAAGTTAGTTTCATGCAGGGTCAAATTTGGTCTCTCGGCCAGGCGCAGTGGCTCACGCCTATCATCCCAGCACTTTGGGAGGCCGAGGACGGGTGGATCACGAGGTCAAGAGATGAAGACCATACTAGTCAACATGGTAAAACCCCATCTCTACTAAAAATACAAAAAATCAGCTGGGCATGGTGGCACACGCCTGTAGTCCCAGCTACTCGGGAGGCTGAGGCAGGAGAATTGCTTGAACCCAGGAGGCGGAGGCTGTGGTGAGCTGAGATCACACCATTGCACTCCAGCCTGGGTAACAAGAGCGAAACTCCATTTCAAAAAAAAAAAATATTTGGTCTCTAAAGTACATCAGGCAGGGTACCATAGCTCACACCTGTAACCCTGGCACTTTGAGAGGCTGAGGCAGGCAGACTGAGCCCAGGAGTTTGAGACCAACCTTGCCAACATGGCAAAACCCGGTTTCTACCAAAAAATAAATAAATAATAAATCTGGGTATGGTGGCACACACCTACAATCCCAGCTACTCCAGAAGCTGATGTGGGAGGATGGCTTGAGCCTAGGAGGTGGAGGTTGCAGTAAGCAGAGATTGTGTCACTACATTCCAGCCTAGGCAACAGAGCCAGATCCTATCTCGAAAAAAATTTTTTTGTAATAAAGTACATCAGGCTTCAGAAATAGTATACATTCAGATGACCCCTGCATCCCAAAAGAACATTTCCATTTCAGCTTTCCAAAGCAATTATCAGTACTTATTTTAGATACTGTCCTGGAAAAATAAACATAAAATATGTTATGCTACTGAAAGAGCTCTCCTTGCCTCTAAAGAATGAAACTTTGTGCCGGGCGTGGTGACTCACGCCTGTAATCCCAGCACTTTGGGAGGCCGAGGCGGGTGGATCACAAGGTCAAGAGATCGAGACCAGCCTGGTCAACATGGTGAAACCCCGTCTCTACTAAAAATACAAAAAATTAGCTGGGCATGGTGGTGCGCGCCTGTAATCCCAGCTACTCAGGAGGCTGAGGCAGGAGAATTGCCTGAACCCAGGAGGCGGAGGTTGCAGTGAGCCGAGATCACGCCATTGCACTCCAGCCTGGGTAGCAAGAGCGAAACTCGGTCTCAAAAAAAAAAAAAAAAAGAAACTTTGTGCTTAATCTCTTAAAGAGTATGTTTTTGTAAAGTCTTACAACTTGCCTTGAAAGCCATATGCTCCAGAAAGTGAGCTGTTCCATTATTCTTCTCATTTTCATATCTACTTCCAGCATCAATCCAGAGTCCAACCTTAATGCAATCAAAGAACAATTAAATAAAACCATTATATTTATTTGAGGTTGCTGGGAACCTTCTCCTTTCTTTTTCTGACAAATGTTTTCTGGTCTTAACACTAAGATTTTCTTGACCTGAGTCACCTGATAGCTCATTCCTATGAACTATGAGATTGAAAATTTTTGATCAGTCTACTACTGGGTGCTACAAATACCTACCTGCCACTTTCACTAAGGATTCTTTGCCCAACTCATTAATCCAACCAATAACTGTAACATAAAGAACATCAGAGACTGTCAGAAAACTTCAGTTGAAATCTTGGCTCTGTCATGTATCAGCTTTGGGATCTGAACAAAACCATTTAACTTCTCGCACTTCCTTAACTATAAACACGTGTGAGGACGCCCACTAAAAAGAATTGCTTTAAAAAGCAAATAAGACATACGTAAAAACACCTGGCAGAGCAGCAAATACACTTCTTCCATTATTATCAATACTACTACTAATAATCAGTAATAAGCTACAAGAACAAGCAGCAAACTGCAACAGGATACATATGCACCCTATAACTAAGTATCACTGGAAGAAAAGGTTCAAGACTCAGAGAAACCTGTCAAGGCAAAATCACTGCCACCGTTTTTCGACCACCAGCCAACGAAAAAGCTAAAGATTAAAATCAACAGTTTGCTCTGCTAAACAAAGGGTCACTTACTGTGCATGTTGAGAGCCCAGAGTCTTCAGAGGCCACTCTAAGTCCACTTTCTAAACATGTTACTCTTGTTTCAGGAACATTCAGAACAACTTGTGTAGCAGCCTGTGTACTCCTCAATCTATTCTCTCCAAAATATGATGACTGGTTGGGGTAGGAAGTGGAAGAGACAAAGCAAAACACATTACTAATGTGATATGAAATGTTGACTTTAAACCAGATCTATTTTAAATGGGCTCTCTCCACAAAAGAATCTTTCTTCCTGAATTTTGGTTCCACTGGGATTACCCCTCTGCCTGGCCTAAACTTCTGTCACCAGCCACTGTCCTAAAGCCAGCAACGTGATTATAAACATGCCCTTTCCTCAGGAGGATGAGCAGTTATTAGCATTACACAGAGAAACTGACTTTATTTCACTATCTATCCTATATGTTTTACATTCATTATGGAGAAAACAAGCGGGGGGAAAAAAAGAAAGAAAAGGAGGGAAAAAATGTAAAACTACCTACACACAAGATAGAACTAACCCTCGGGTTTTCATTGTTCAAGAAAAGCAACAAGTTTTGGAAATAATAGAAAAAGAGACGATAGGAAGACAGGCTGATGTTCAAAATGCACTCCAGCTGACTGGCTTGTCGGCCAGGAACTATTCACCTTTCACCAGTTTTTCTTTGCTTTTATACATATGTTAAGTCTCACATCCCTTTGCTGAAAGGCAGAGGCTCTCTCATGAGAAAAATGCTAATTAATACATACTAAATTTTACTGCGGCGATGTCCAGGTTCGCGGGAAGCCTGGCCGAGGTCGAAGCTCAGTCCCAGGCTAAAACAGAACTCTGGAGCGGTAACCATTTTACTTACTAGTTTTCCCCAATTTGCAAGCACTATGTTTTTAGTTTTCAACCACGCACTCCTGAGTAGCTCGCTGGAGGACCCGAAAACCAGGGTCATTCCACAAGTCAGTGGAAGGTCTCCTGACTGGTGGCCAAAAGTCAGCCACCCCCAACCAGTTCAGCGGCCCCAGGCCGCCTGGCGCCCGGCAGGTCTGGGTCGAGGAGGCCCTTCCCGACCTGCTGTTTGGAACTGTGGCGACGACTCAGGTGCGATGCGCCGGGTCCGGCGAGAAAGACCGGGGCCGGACCGACCGGGTCTGGCCCCGAGCAGCGCCAAGACAAGTGGAGGGAAGCTCACCCGTCCTGCAGCACCTCGGATCAGCAGCCTCTCGCTGAAACCCCACAACCGCCGCCGCACCCCGGGTAGCAGAACCGCTCGAGTCGCTGCCGCCGCCATCTCTGGTGGAAGAAAGATGGAGGACAGAGGATGTGCTTCCGGGGTCAGGACCTGAGGTCCCAGTGCAGGGAGGCAGGCTCCTGCTTGTGGCCATGATGGGAATGACACCCCTCGAAGCGGTCGTGAAAAGTATCAGGACCCGACCATGCTGCTGAACGGTCTTTACCAAATCACACGAACTGGGGAGTCTGCAGGAAGCCCCTGTATCACCAGTTATTTTATTCATTGCCTACTAAGTGCAAGGCACAATTGCGGTAGAGTGAAAGGTAACCTGATGCAATATATCTCACTGGTGGATAGAATGAATTGAAAACAGTAGAATAAGATCCCTAAGTCACTCCCCTTAAAGGAAAAGTCTAGTGAAAGAGTCAGATGCAGTGAGGGGAGGAAAAGATGTATCCATATTGACCCCTATTCATCTTTGAACCTTTACAGTATGGCTCATCCCATTCCATAGACATTGCCCTCAGTAAGGTCACTAATTGCTAAAAATTGGACACTTTACAGGCTTATGTTACAGTCCTGTTGGAGGAGATTACATTTTTGGCCTCTGTAAAATTCTCTTTTGTCATTTTATTCTAAAGCTTCTCTTTATTCACAGATATCTTTGTTTTGTTTATTTGTTTGTTTTTTAAGACGGGGTTTCACCATGTTGGTCAGGCTGGTCTTGAACTCCTGACCTCAGGTGATCCGCCTGCCTTGGCCTCCAAAGTGCTTGGATTACAGGCATGAGCCACCACGCCCGGCCTTTCTTTTTCTTTTTCTTTTCTTTTCTTTTCTTTTTTTTTTTTTTTTTTGAGGCAGAGTTTTGCTCTTATTGCCCAGGCTGGAGTGCAATGGCAGGATCTCAGCTCACTACAACCTCTGCCTCCCGGGTTCAAGCAATTCTCCTGCCTCAGCCTCCCAAGTAGGATTACAGGTATGCACCACCACACTCAGCTAATTTTGCATTTTTAATAGAGATGGGGTTTCACCACATTGGTCAGGCTGGTCTTGAACCCCTAACCTCAGGTGATCAACCCACCTCAGCCTCCCAAAGTGCTGGGATTGCATGCATGAGTCACTGTCCCCTGCCCACAGATCTCTTAAGGAACTAAAAATTGCAAACACTTTTCTAACTCAGGTAGATGCTATTGTCCTCATTTTGCAATTAAGACACTGAAGTCAAATAACTTGCCCCAGGTTCCCCTGCTAATAATAGGTTAACTCCAAAGACTGTGCTGCTGTGAAACACTACATTTTGCCATAAAAGTTGGGGTTTGCCAGGGCTCTAGGCCTCTTCTACAGAATATTCCCTCTCTGGGCTTTTCACTCCACTTCAGGACTTGTCTGACCAACTCAGGCCTTTCTCTTGAGCTCCAGGCCCACTTAACCATCAACTAGTAGGAAACTACACTTGAATATCCGATTGGAACCTCAATATCAACTTGTCCAAAAGGGAATTCACTGTGGCCCCTGAATCTCTTCCCATATTTGCAGTGCTAAACAGCCAATAATACCTCCATTCACCCAAAAATCCAAACCACCAGGAAGCTCCTCTCTTTTTCCATCTTCCACATTCAATTGATTCATCCCTTTCCTGCCTCTTCAATCTACTCCAGGCCCTTTGTCAGTTTTTTCACATTGCTACCTATGATATCTCTTTCAAATGCAACTGTTATGGCAGTCCCATCGTGAAGAACCCACCAGGAAGCCCTTGGTCACAATAAAGTAAAGACTCCTTAGCATGGCAGGTGGGGCTCTTCATGATCTGACTCCCATTTATCTTTCCAGACTCATCTCCCTCTGCCTACCCAGCTACTATGATTCACAGGTTCAGCCCACAAGACTCATTATGTAATGTAATAAAGGAGGACCAAGGTTATCCCCGCATGTTTCTAAAACAAGTGCGTTAAAGAAATACAAACATGCATACATATATACAAAAACATTTACGTATTATCACAAGAAGCACCTAGAAAGTTTTAGCAAGAATTTCTATTCAATTCTAATATACTCCATTGTGTTAATTTATTAGTCATTAAAGTCAATACATTAAAATATAAAGCCTATAGAAATTAAGAGCACTCTATCAGAGTAGAGCTAAGAAATCAAAGTACTTTTACTACTGCCAAAACAGCCCTACACGTACAACAGTATACTTTTTTTTGTTTTTTTAGATGGAGTTTAGCTCTTGTTGCCCAGGCTGGAGTGCAATGGCACGATCTCAGCTCACTGCAACCTCCGCCTCCTGGGTTCAAGTGATTCTCCTGTCTCAGCCTCCTGAGTAGCTGAGATTATAGGCGCCCGCTACCATGCCCAGCTAATTTTTGTATTTTTAATAGAGATGGGGTTTCACCATGTTGGCCAGACTGGTCTCAAACTCCTGAACCCAATTGCCAGGCTGGTCTTGAACTGCTGACCTCAAGTGATCTGCTTGCCTCAGCCTCCCAAAGTGCTGGGATTACAGGCGTGAGCCACCGCACCTGCCTATTTTTAATAATTTCTTAACTGACTGGATTTTACTGGCAAAGAGTCGTTGCTATTTTTGCTGTTTGAAAATTTTCATTGCAGATGTCATATTTCTTTAACTCCTTCATGTCTGAGGATGTCTCCTTTTATCTTTATATTTGAAAGACATTTTTGTCTGGACTTAATATTGTTAGTTCACATTTTCATTTTCTCAGAATTTTATAAATATTACTCCATTATGTTCCTGAATTAAATGTTTTGGAGAAGTCTGAGGCTAGCCAGATTTTTTTTTTTTTGAGACGGAGTTTCGCTCTTGTGACCCAGGCTGGAGTGCAATGGCGCGATCTCGGCTCACCGCAACCTCTGCCTCCTGGGTTCAGGCAATTCTCCTGCCTCAGCCTCCCGAGTAGCTGGTTCTACAGGCGCACGCCACCATGACCAGCTAATTTTTTGTATTTTTAGTAGAGACGGGGTTTCACCATGTTGACCAGGATGGTCTCAATCTCTTGACCTCGTGATCCACTTGCCTCGGCCTCCCAAAGTGCTGGGATTACAGGCTTGAGCCACCGCACCCGGCGCCAGATTTTTTTTTTTAACCACCCTTAAATGTGACTTGTTTTATCTGCCTAAATACCAAAAAAATTATTTTATTATTGAAGTTCAATAACTAGGCTACCTTAATGTTGAGTAATTTTTGTGTGAAGTGATGTTTATCAAAATTTTCAAATCACATATATTCTTTCATGCTGAACGTTCACTTCTTCCTTCATTTTAGGGACAGTCTCTTTGAATACATCTTCTGGCATTCCATTCAGTGTATTCTCTTTTCAAGGACAGCAGCTCTCCCTATGCTGAATTATGTTATCTGTTCTTCATATTTATTAGCATCTGTTTAACTTCCTAAGGCTTTGTCATTTTCCTCTACTTTTTTTGTGATTATCTCAAGACAGAGTAGGCCTACACAAACATGTCCTACTAATTTTTGGTAAAGGTGCAGAGGCAATTCAATAGATGAAGAATAGCCTTTCAGCAAATACTGCTGGAACAATTAGATGTTCATATCCACCGCTCCCTGCTCCCCAAACTCCATGAACCTGCACCTCACACTTTATACAAAAATTAACTCAAAACGAATCATGGATGCAAATGTATGACCTAAAACTATAAAACTTTTAGAAAACCACATACAATAAAATCTTTGGGATATAGGGATAGACAAGGAGTTTTCAGACATAGTATCAAAAGTATAACTCTTAAAACAAGATTAAAAGCTTTTGCCCTACAAAAGATGCTGTTAAGAGGATTAAAAGACAAGCTACAGACTGGAAGAAAATATTTATAAACCATGTATTTAACAAAGGACTTGTGTCTAAATTATGCAAAAAAAAAAAAAAAAAAGAAAATGGGCAAAATACATGAACAGACCTTTCACTGAAGAAGAAATACAGATGGCAGATAAGCACATGAAAAGATGTCCAATGGCTGGGTGTGGTGGCTCATGCCTGTAATCCTAGCACTTTGGGAGGCCGAAGTGGGTGGTCAGGAGTTCAAGACCAGCCTGGCCATCATAGTGAAACCCCATCTTTTAAAAAAAAAAAAAAAAGAAAAGAAAAGATGTCCAATATCATCAGTCATTACAAAGTGTATATTAAAATGATGAGGTATCACTACACACACAGCAAAATGGCTCAAGTAAAAAACAGCAAAAACGGTATTGCACGGGACACGGCCAAGTCATGGACCGTAACCCTTCGCCACCGCCGCCGCCGGGTCGCAACAAGGAGGAGGAGAAGGTCGCCGGGGGAGACTGCATAGGGAACACAGTCTACAGCAAACACTGGCTCTTTGGCGTCCTCAGCGGACTCATCCAGATTGTTAGCCCTGAAAACACCAAATCTAGCTCAGATGATGAGGAGCAGCAGATGGAGCTTGAGGAAGAAATGGAGAATGAAATTTGTAGAGTATGGGATATGTCAATGGATGAGGATGTGCCTTTATTTCTCCAAGAATTTAAAGCTCCTGATATATTCATGGGAGTACTGGCCAAGTCCAAGTGTCCTCGATTAAGAGAAATCTGTGTGGGAATTTTAGGTAATATGGCCTGTTTCCAAGAGATATGTGTGTCCATCTTGGGCAGGTGTTATTGCACTGTTTGTATGATTCAGACCCACCTACTCTGCTGGAAACAAGCAGGTTGTTGCTTACTTGCCTTTCCCAGGCAGAAGTGGCCAGTGTCTGGGTTGAAAGGATCCGGGAACATCCGGCTATTTATGATAGAATTTGCTTCATTATGTCAAGTTCAACAAATGTTGACTTGCTGGTGAAGGTCGCGGAGGTTGTGGACAAGCTTTTTGATTTGGATGAGAAACTGATGTTGGAATGGGTCAGAAATGGGGCTACTCAGCTTCTAGACCAACCCCAGGAAGAGTCTGAACGTTCTGAAAATGCATAATGGCTTGATGTTTACATGCACATTTTACAATTGCTTACTACAGTGGATGATGGAATTCAAGCAATTGTACATTGTCCTGACACTGGAAAAGATATTTGG